CGAGCAAAGCGCGAGGATATCTCGACCACTTTTGAACCACCAGCCAGGAAAATAGCTGCGGACTGACGAATGGGCTTCCACGCAGCGTCAAGAGCGCACTCTATATCTCTGATATGCCGACGGTGCTTACTCCATGTATCCGTCGGAATGCGAGACTCTAGAGTGCGCCCCTGGCCAGCCGCGTCTTCGGAGTCGGCGCTTAAACTCTGCCCTTGTGACGGGGGTGGATGATGGATGTTATTTGCGTGCTCCATGCGGCGCGCGGCTCGGAGGCCAGACGCCGACTCACTGTTCTGGTATGGGGGGGGGGCGAAGGAGACCGGATGGGGGCCGCGGGGCCCTCAGGCAACTGGGGCTGAAAGCTCGATTCATCAGCTCACGGATCTTCCTCATTCTCATCGGGATATAAGCTTTCATCGGGGTCTGGCTCAAAACCTCCAGCCGAGAAACTGAAGCCGCCTCAGAAGCCGCCGCGGGCGCCGACTCTTGGACGCTAGCTTGGCTTACTTCTTGGCTTGCTTCATGGAACAAGGCTTCATATAGTTTAATCCTACGCTGCTTAGCTTCACCCCTAGCCATCTGCGCCCGTTCCTTGGCTAAGGGCGCCTTAGATCCAGAAGCGGGAAGTGCGCCAGGCCGACGAGCTTGCGGGGGCTTGGCGGGGACCTCCAGCGCCCTGCACAACAACTGCTTGCCTGAGGCTCTAAGGGATAACTTGACGCCTACATCAGTCTTCCAGGGCACCTTGAGCTCAGGTTCGAGCGCTACGATGCATGGGAGACAGCTTGCACTCGCCACAACATTATCGATGAGTGATGCTGCAGCACTGGCACTGCAGCCGGCAGTGACCGAGCCTGTAATGACTGCTCCACCTACTCTGCGCAAGAAATCTGACTTCGCCAAGGTATGCGCTGGCACGTTGAAGCCCCCCACGATAAGCCAGGGGAGACGCAGTGAGCTGACGAGGGCCCCCAGGCGGCTCAAGTTAGCCCCTGACAGGCCAACGCCAGAAAAACCGTAAAATATACTTGCTACTATACGGAAGCCGTGAAAGTGAGCGAGCAATGCAACAAAACCGTCGCAGGCCTTGCGCGGTTTAGCCTGCAAGTCTGCATGCTGCGCCTCTGCGAGAGGGTGTGCATCGCGATGCCCCGCCGCCAGCAGCCATTCGCCACCCTCCTTGGCATGGTGTGCTTGCGACGAGTCTGCTTCTATATTGCCCGTTGGCCTGGCAACGTCTGCGATGGGCTTCGTGCCCAACTTACGAGACTCACCCCGCCACTTCGAAAGAGTGTCGCTGCCAACATGGGTCTCAGCAAAAGCGAAGAACCATGTGCCTGCCGACTGGCAACTAGATAGCTCCACGCCGTATCGCCCATGATGGTGACGCTGGCGAAAAATGTCTCTCCCGCGCCAGCGCTGCACTGCGCCAGCTCGTCTGCTCCGATCGCTGCTGATGGCGAGCCCACCTGCACGGACCGTGAACACAAGGTGGACGTAAGCTATAGGAAGCCCGCGCGGACTTCTATAACCGCTAAGGGGGGTCAAGCGCAGATCCATAAGGTCCACGTGGATTTCCGAAAGCTCACGTATTTGCTGTAGCGCCTCCCAGCCGAAGAGCCGGCCGCAATGCTGTCCAAGTCCCGCGCCCAGCTTGTCGCCTCCTCTCCTCGTAGCCTGGAGCACGGGGATGCGCGCCAGCAGGGGGGAGGCGCTCGGAGCCCCGACGCCTGGCCCAACGGCTTAGTGGAGCCGGCGCCGCAGGCGTCTCCCAGACCTGACTGTGGGCAGCAATCTGCTCCAGGGATGAAGCCAGGGCTTGACCCAAACAGTGTTTTCCATTTTCGCTTAATTATCGCTCTCACGAGATCGCTGGAATACCGTTTAGGCCGAGCTCTGGCAGCTGCTCCGATCCTGCCCCCGCAGTAGAGGAAGCCTTGGCGCCAGACCGAAGAGCGCCCGCTCCCGACATGGATGAGGATCACCAGGTTGGCCCTGAGCCGGCCCAGGGACCGCTGTCCCCAGAGCGCCCGCTCTGACACACCTGTCGGGAAGGCCTGGGCAAGGTCTCGGTTGAGCTCTGCGCGTAGTACGAGAACCTCCCTGCGCGCCTCCGGGCTCTTCTTCTGCACGTGCTCCTTGGCAGAGCTGCCGCCACGCCCCCCGCGCTCGCCATGCCACTCTGTCCGCTCCGCAGTGCTCCACTCCTGGAGGAGCCGGAGCGAACGATGGGCTCATGGCGTGAGGCCCTCTGGGCAGGCCTCCACATATGCTTTGCGACAGAGATTATCATCGGGTGAGTTCCGCAACTGGACGCGCCGCGCGGCCACGTCGATGACCGCGCGGTCGTGGCCCGAGGTACACCGCCCCAGCTCGGCCGCGGCCACGCCTGCGCTTCGCCAGGCGTCGGCTTCGAAGAGCGCCAGGGCCTACGAGTCGCAAGTTTGGTTCAAGAGCGGAACTGCTCTGGGACATACTCCTTCCAGGAGCCACTGGCCAAACCTCAGCCCTCCTTCCACAACTGACTCGAAAATCCCCATAGCCACCCCCAGGGGCAGAGTGCCTTGGGCGACTTGGCTTGCCAAACTTGCTGCTTCCGCAGTGGTTGCCTCTGGGCGCTGGGAGAGGATGCCGTGCGAGGCGAGATCGCTGAGCCACGGCAGCCTTGGTCACCGATGCTGCGTTACCCATGCCACGTCAGCTGGCCCTTGCCCCACGACCGGGGAGACGTAAGACTCGGGTACGGGGGACTCGGGTTGGTCTGACGGGGCCATCATAAAAATGACGAGACGCAATCTGAAATTTGACGCGAGCCCCCGCTGCAAACATCCCACGAACATCGGACCGTCAGAATCCAAGACGCGCTCGTCAAAAAACTTCGGCACACCCGAGTTCCGGCCTACACGAGTCTTACTCAGGAGGAAAAGAAACAGACACAATTAATCCTCGATTTCCCCTCCAAAAAAATACGGGAAAATATGGGCAGCGGGGGGGAAAACAAAAACCCAGAAAATAGAGGAAATATAGGGGATATTTTCATTTGTGTGTATGTATTTGTGTGTCCCAGGGCCCCTTCACTTACGTTTCCCCGACACGAGTCCCAGCTGCAGGGTCCGCCCTTGCGGTGGTTGCGCGTGGAGCCCGGCGCGTCCAGCAGCCCTTGCCGCGTGCTCGGCCGGTGTTCTGTGCGAGGCGCTGCCTCGCACTTCTAGGCCCGGGCCGCTCTCGCCTGGAGGGCCGCCCATGCCGAACGAGCAACACACACCCATACCCATAGGGGGGTCGTTGGGAGGAGGACTGGCTATGGGTATGGGTGCGGGTTGTCGGACCCTGGGGAACGCTCCCGTTCGAGCGGGGACCCCCACCCGACAACACGCACCCATAGCTCTCTCCGACCCCTCTATGGGTATGGGTGTGTGTGTGTGTCGTTGGTTCGTCAGCCCGTGCCCCTGCCTGGGGCGATTCGAGGAGCACTGGGCCGTCGGCGTGCAAAGCGACGTGGCCGCCAAAAACCGAGACGGGGGCCGGGCGGCCCCCCAGTTCGCCGCGCCGGCGCCTCCAGGTCTGGCCACTCCGCGAGGAGCGCCCGGGAGGGCAGCAGCCCCCCTCCCCGATTGCTGCCTCGAGGCGCCCTCGCCTGCCCAGGCACCCCCACGCCATGCATCCCTGAACCTTCGCCCCGACGCCAGCTCCCAGGACTGCGGCCAGCATGTCCGGGGCCAGATCTCCCATGTATGCCAGGGAGGCTCGCGGGCCGACGGCGCCGCCCTCTGAAGCACCTTGGGCCACTCGTGCCACGGCGCATCCACTGAAACCGATGTGGACAAAGGCCTCGGTCAGAATGCCGTGCGGGAGGGCGAAAGCCCCGTCCTGAACGCCAGCTAGGGCGTGCAGGTTGTACAGGCGCCCCTCGCGACACGTGCTCGGAAAGGCTTTCTGCAGGTCTCCGAGGATGGCGACCAGAACTCTCCGGTCTCGGATCGCTGCGGCCGTAAGTCCGTGCAGGAGGAGATGAGCATCTCCATTGCATCTCCCACCTCACGCATGTACCCACTCTGCCCAGGTGCGACCTTCGCTCGCCACGGAGCCTGTGGGCGGCGGAGGAGTCGGCCCTCCTGTAGCCGACCCAGTTGCGCCCAGTCTATGGTGAGGCGGTAGCTCTCTCTACCTCGTCGCACGGCCCTGCTCTGCGGCAGGTGGTCGCATTGATGCCCCGCCACATTCGCGGTCGGAGAGCAAGGCAACCTGGGCCGAGCGGTTTCATGAGGTGGAAGACCACGGTGTCCAGCACCTCGCGGCGCAGTTGAAGCACAAGCCGCGGCACTAGGTCCGGGGTTGTGGCCTGTGCTGGGCCCGACCCATTGACCACGCTACGCATGCGCATTCGCCCTGCGAGATGTGCGCATCAAGGGCGCCTGCGCCCCTGGTGCGCCCTGGCTTGTCCGAGGAGAGCTGGGACGGCACAGCGCACGTACTCGACGAAACCGGCGTCGTGCACGCCAGGCCACTCGCGCTGCCTGCGCACCTGCGCGCGCCACTCTTCCGTGGACTCCATGGGGCTCAGGACCCTCCCGCCCTGGCGCAGGTAAAGAAAGCCAGGCAGGGAAAGGAAGCCAGGGAGGAGGAGGATGGAGAGGAAGATGAGGACGAGGAGATGGATGAGGAAGTGAAGGAGCAGGAGCAGGATAACAGGGAGGAGAAGACGAAGAAGGAGCAGAAGCATGATGCGGACTAAGAGGGAAATGTCGACGACGGAGGAGGTCGACGACCACAAGCGAGGAGTGAACAGCTCCAAGGGTGGCAGCAGCGGGGCAGCGTCGGCAGCAGCAGAACGGGTGGAACGACAGGAGGAGGAGGAGGTGGAGGAAGAGAAGAAAGAGACAGGTCAGAAATCCTGCATCAGTAGTCATGTGAACTCCTATGAAAAGTACGGTGCATAAGGGCTTCGTGGCACTTTATTCGGCTTGGGGCAAAGACTCCTTATTAAATGCCAGCGGCGCCTCTTGGTAGCTCACACTGGCGAAGAGCGCAATGACCACCGGGTCTGGGACGTTTTTTGATCGGGCGTTCTCTCCTCAACCACCTCATGCTTATCTTCCATGGCTCTCATACCAATTGCATGCAAACGTTGCTGTCTGCACCTTGCCGAGGAGGAGCGTCACCCGCAGCAGCCGCAAACCCGGAGCGAGCGATAGAGGGAGAGCGAGCGATAGAGGGATAGGGATGGATCATGATATTTATATATAGGTATGTATATGTATATCTATGTAAGAGATAGAGAGAGAGAGAAACAATTAAACAAAAAAAAAAGTGACCACGCCGACACATGCGGACATATGTGGTCAGACAGTCATGCACGCGTGCGTATGCCCATACATGAATCTTGCTGTAAGAAGGAGAGGGAGGAGGCAGAGAGACGACAAACAATTTTGGTCGGCGGGGCGAGAGCGAACCTCTTCCGCTAAAAGCTAGGCGGGCTACGCACAGCTTTAATTAGGGAGACAGGGCACAGGCAGGCGGGGCCTGCGAGAAACGAACAACAAACAGGGCACACAAACGTCCACTACAAGTCGGACCGTCGCGACAGAAGGCGCCAAACAACCTTCAACGGCTCACGAAGGGGGGCCAAGATGGATGGGCCACCGATTCCGGGGGGGCCCGGGCTCCTCAACCGGGCCACAGGAGCACTACACGCAGCACTTACAGACAGGCTGCCCAGAACAAAGGAGGCATGGACAGGTACTGGAAGCGAGAGGCAGCGATGCCACGAACGAGCGCGGCGAGACGCCCGCGCAGTGGCAGCAGCCAGAGCCCTGACGCACCGCGGGGGCCATCCCTGGAACCCGCTCGCCCTCCCCCAGCCCAAGCCTGCCCACGCCCGACGCCCAGACCTGGGCCCCCCGCCCAGACCCACTGAAGGGGCCCCAAAACACACCAATACATACACACAAATAAAAAGATCCCCCATCTTTTCCTATGTTTTCTGAGTTCTTGTCTTCCCCGCCACTTCCCATGTTTTCCCATACTTTCCTGGGGATCGACGATCAATTGTGTCTGTGTGTTTCTTCCCCGCCCAGACCCACGGCGGGCCAGGATGCCCCCATCCCCGCTCGCCCTCCCCCAGCCCTCCCCCAGCCCAAGCCTGCCCACGCCCGACGCCCAGACCTGGGCCCCCCGCTCAGACCCACGGCGGGCCAGGCTGCCCCCCATCCTGGTGCAGGCCACAAGCCCACCGCAGCCGGAGGAGGAGGCCGTGCGCTCGGGCCACGTGGCCTAGAGGCGGTGGCACCCCGCTTTTGCTGGCAAGCGCCCTGGTCGGCCTGCTCCGGCCGCCACCGCCGCCCACGCTGGCCGTCTTGCCCCTCCCGAGGCCCCCGCCTTGCTCGCCCGCCATCGCGCGACGTCCACAACTCTGCGCGGCCCCTTCCCCTCCACCTCCCCCTCCTCCTCCTCCTCCTCCTCCTCCTCCTCCTCCTCTTCTCCGCCTTTCCCCTTCCTGCTTCTCCGACCCTCCCTCCTCTTCTTCCTCCTCCTCCTCCTCCTGCGCACTTGCTCCAGCGGCAGCAGGTCACAGCCAGGGCACTCGAAATGTAATGTCGCGAACAGTGGGGGACAAAGCATCACAAGCACACGCAACCGGAGACTCGACTTTCAGGCGCCCTCCCGACGAAGAGCTAGGACCAATAAGAAGAATACTAATAATACGACTAAGACTCATAATCACAAGGAGAAGAGAAGCATAAGAAGATAAGAACTAAGGGATACTAAACATTATCAGGGAGAAGGGTAACCATGAGGACACGAGGAGAAGAATGGTCATGAGGAGGATGAGAAAAGTCTGAGGGCGCATGAGGGACAGGAAGAGGAGGACAACGATGAGGGAGCGCGCGAAGGAGAACAAGGAGGAGGCGGAGGGACAGGAATGCGAGGCGGGAAGCAGGAGGAGCGCTGGAGACGGCAGGGCAGGGACCCAGATATATCAGGGAAGCTGATTTGTTCACTGTGAGGCCCTAGGAATCCTTAGAACCCTTCCCCAAGGACAGTTTCTTACCACAGATCCATAATCGATGTCCCAGAGCCCCAGAATCTGATAACGGGCAGGTCGGGAACACGACGCCAGAACTAAAAAAATAGCCTGGCGAAGGACCCAACCATCTGCAGCTGTGAGCACCGCAAGCGTGAGAATCATCTTGGGTGGAGCTCCCTATTGGGCCACGAGACGTGCGAGGGGTGTACCGAAATGGGTGTGGCGGACGCATGTGGACGGTGCCACTGGGGCTTTCGGTGGAGCTTCCTATGGGACCACGAAACGTGTGTGGGGGGGGGGGGGGCGCCCGTCATGGGTGTTGCCGACGCATGTGAACGGTGCCACTGGGGCCTTGGGTGGAGCTCCTTCTGGGACCACGAAACGTGTGAGGGGTGTGCCGAATTGGGTGTTGCGGACGCATGTGGACGGTGCCACTGGGGCCTTCGGTGGAGCTCCCTGTGGGGCCACGAGATGTGTGAGGGGGGTGCCGAATTGGGTGTTGCGGGCGCATGTGGACGGTGCCACTGGGGCCTTCGGTGGAGCTCCCTGTGGGGCCACGAAACGTGTGAGGGGTGTGCCGAATGGGTGTGGCGGACGCATGTGGACGGTGCCACTCGGCCTTTGGGTAGAGCTCCATATGGAGCCATGAAGCGTGTGAAGGGTGTGCCGAAATGGGTGTTGCGGACGCATGTGAACGGTGCCACTGGGGCCTTCGGTGGAGCTTCCTATTGGGCCACGTCACGTGTGAGGGGTGTGCCGAATTGGGCGTTGCGGACGCATGTGGATGGTGCCACTGGGGCCTTCGGTGGAGCTCCCTGTGGGAGCGCAAAACGTGTGAGGTCTGTGCCGAAAACTCTGTGGTGGACGCATGTGGGCGGTGCCATTCGGGCCTTCGGTGGAGCTCCATGTGGGGCCACGAGACGTGTGAGGGGTGTGCCGAAATTGGTGCGGCCCACGCATGTGGACGGTGCCACTGGGGCCTTGGGTGGAGCTCCCTACACGAAACGTGTGAGGGGGGGGGCCGAAATGGATGTTGCGGACGCATGTGGACGGTGCCATTGGGGCCTTGGGTGGAGCTCCCTATGGGGCCACGAAACGTGTCAGGAGTGTGCCGAGATGAGTGTTGCGGACGCATGTGGACGGTGCCACTGGGGCCTTCGGTGGAGTTCCCTGTGGGACCACGAGGCGTGTGAGGGGTGTGCCGAAATGGGTGTGGCGGACGCATGTGGACGGTGCAACTGGGGTTTTGGGTAGAGCTCCATATGGAGCCATGAAGCGTGTGAGGGGTGTGCCGAAATGGGTGTTGCGGACGCACGTGGATGGTGCTACGGGGGCTTCCGGTGGAGCTCCCTATGGGGGCACTAAGCGTGAGGGGTGTGCCGAAATGGGTGTCGATGATGGTGACGATACAGGCGATGATGATGGCGATGATGATGATGACGATGATGACGATGGCTATGATGATGCTGATGATGATGACGATGATGGTGGCGATGCTGGTGATGACGATGACGATGACGATGACGATGACGATGATGATGATGATGATGATGATGATGATGATGATGATGATGATGATGATGAATACGAGATGACGGGGAGGGGGCAGCGGGAGGAGGAGGAACGCGGAACGCTGTCTCTTCAAAACGAAGACCCAACACCACATGATGGCTGGGAAAACTCACATCGTCGGATATATGGGGGGCTGCATCAGCCGCGAAAGTTCCGACCCTCTTCTCGGGGGCGGCGAAAGGATGCGATACAAAAAACAACGTTGAAAGTCAGCTCACATAGATGGTTTTCCTGGTGCCTCCTGGCGCTGGGAGGCGCCCATGTATCGAGGGATGGGGCCGGCGGCGGGGCGGAAACCAGCTGCACGCAGCAGGTGTCGCAACCCCCCCATTACCCATTACCCTATCCTGCCCTTTCGTCCGACCCGATCTTCCCAGGGCCAGGTCTGACACCCGACTCGTTTTCCGACGGCTCCGAGGCCCAGCGAGGGCCCATGGAGAATGAGAACGGCCAAAAGCTCCTCCCGTCGTGCTTCTGTCACAACGCGAGCACGTCTGGGGCAGGACCGGGGGGCAGCAGCAGCAGCAGCAGCAGCAGCAGCAGCAGCAGCAGTAGCAGCAGCAACGGGCTAGCAGGAGGATGCCCTGGGGCTAAGAGCTCGACATCCGGGCCCATTGCGGGGTGCGTCTTGGCCACAATTCCGAAACGAATCCGGCCTTGGCGACGAGGAGCCCCCCCGAGGCCCAAGTTAGCCTGGCGGAGAACCCAACCATATGCAACTGTGAATACCGCAATTGTGAATATCATCTTCGCTTGAAGTCCCTACGGGGCCACGAACCGTGCGAGGGGGCGTGCCGAAATGCGTGGCGGGGTCCACAATACGAACGAAGACGGTCGGTCTGAGTGCGAAAGACTGAGAAGGGGTGAGCCTGAGCGCGAGTGAGTCTGATTGTGAATGAGTCTGCGTGCGGATCACTCTACGTGCATGAATGTCGACGCCCACGTCGGCACGTCCCTCACGAGGATCGCGCCCGCTTCCTTCCCTTTTCTGGTTCTGCCTCTTTGCCCGCGCGCGCCGATGTCCATGGCTGCGGGCGCCGCGCCGCGCGGATCCCCCGCGACGCACGCCGGTCGCCCCGAAGGGGTCCCAGCGACGCGCGCGGGTCGTCCGCTGCGCGGAGCAGAGAGAGCTAGCTGGCCGCTGGGCAGAACGACGACGGGGGCGAGCGAGGCTCTGGGCAGAGCGCAGCGCAGAATTCCCGCGATGCGCGCTGGTCACCCCGAAAGGGTCCCAGCGACGCGCGCGGGTCGCCCGCAGCGCGAGGCCAAACAGTCAGACCGTCGAGAGACGGCGAGGCTCGGGCGGGCTACTCCTCAGGTCAAGCCTCGCGGAAAAACCTGGTGAAACCCAGCTCCTTGGCGAGGGCCGTCGCCTCCCTTCTGCACCGCTTCGTGCGCGCCCAAACTGCCCCAACTGTTTCGGCAAGCCCTCTGGCGGCGCTGCCAGGAAAAACTCGATGCGAACTGCGCCACTGCGACCTTGGGTGGGCCGCCGTGCGATCTGCGCCACTGCGACCTTAGGTTGAGTTCCCTATGGCCCTATGGGGTCACGAAACGTTCGAACGGTGTGCCAAAATGGGGCGAGGCCGCCATGCGAGCTCCGCCACGGGGACCTTAGGTGAAGCCACCAATGGGGCCATGAACGGTGTGAGGGGTGTGCCAGCATGGGGCGAAGCCGCCATGCGAGTTCCGCAACTGGGACCTTACGTGGAGCTCCCTATGGGGCCACGAAAGGTGTGAGCGGTGTACCAAAATGGGGCGAGGCCGCCATGCGAGTTCCGCCACTGGGACCTTAGGTGGAGCCCCCGTACTGGGCCACGAAAAGTGTGAGCGGTGTGCCAAAATGGGGCGAGGCCACCATGCGAGTTCCGCCACTGGGACCTTAGGTGGAGCTCCCTATGGGGCCACGAAGCGTTTGAAGGGTGTCCCAAAATGGGACGAGGCCGTCATGCGAGTTCCGCCACTGGGACCAGAGGTGGAGCTCCTCACGAGGCCACGGAACGTGTGAGGGAGTTACCAGAATGGGGCGAGGCCGCCATGCGAGTTCCGCCACTGGGACCTTAAATGGAACCCCCTTTTTTATGGGGCCACGAAGCGTGTGAGGGGTGTACCAAAATGGGGCGAGGCCGCCACGCGAGTTCCGCCACTGGGACCTCAGGTGGAGCTCCCTAGGGAACCACGAAACGTGTGAGGGGTGTACCGAAGCACACACATGCGGAGAGCAAAGGCAATGAGGGGGAGGAGGAGGAGGAGGAGGAGGAGGAGGAGGAGGAGAAGGAGGAAGGAGGAACGCGGGGCGCTGTCTGTTCAAAACGAGGACCTAACACCACAGGATTGTTGGGGAAAAACCAACAGTTGCCAAGATCATCGGTCCTCCGATGTCGTGACTGCGGCCTCGAAGGTTGAGAACGCCCCCTCGTGTCCCAGATCATCCGGCACCGAACATGTGTGGTATGGCTTTGACAAAACCAGTCGCAACCGAAATGTGGCCTCTCGTAGCAAATTCCAATGACGAGCGAGCCGTAGACGGCCGTGAAAACCTCGCTTTGATCCCGAGGGCCGTCTCCGCGGCGCGGAAAGCCCGACTCCCTCCGACCGCGGCCGGCCTTGGTGCGCCCGAAATCCAACACCGAAAATCTTCGAGGAGGATGATCCAGTGCGCGGGTGATCTGACGAGGAGTCTCTCCAAATCCAAATTAGATTGGCGAAGGACCCAACCATGCGCAGTTGTGAATACCGCAAGTGTGAATCTCATCTTCGCTCGAAATGCCCATGGGGCCATGAATCGTGCGAGGGGGCGCGCCGACATGCGTGGCGGGGCCCACAACACGAACAAAAAAGGTCGGTCTGAGTGCGAGAGACTGAGAACGGGCGAGCCTGAGCGCGAGTGAGTCTGATTGTGAATGAGTCTGCGTGCGGATCACTCTACGTGCATGAATGTCGACGCCCATGTCGGCACGTCCCTCACGAGGATCGCGCCCGCTTCCTTCCCTTTCTTGTTCTGCCTCTTTGCCCGCGCGCGCCGATGTCCATGGCTGCGGGCGCCGCGCCGCGCGGAGCCCCCGCGACGCACGCTGGTCGCCCCGAAGGGGTCCCAGCGACGCGCGCGGGTCGTCCGCTGCGCGGAGCAGAGAGAGCTATCTGGCCGCCGGGCAGAGCGACGACGGGGGCGAGCGAGGCTCTGGGCAGAGCGCAACGCAGAATTCCCGCGACGCGCGCTGGTCGCCCCGAGAGGGTCCCAGCGACGCGCGCGGGTCGCCCGCAGCGCGAGGCCAAACAGTCAGACCGTCGAGAGACGGCGAGGCTCGGGCGGGCCGCTCCTCAGGTCAAGCCTCGCGGAAAAACCTGGTGAAGCCCAGCTCCCTGGCGAGGGTCGTCGCCTCCCTTCTGCACCGCTTCGTGCGCGCCGCAAACTGCCCCAGCTGTTTCCGCAAGCCCTCCGGCGGCCCTGCCAAGAAGGACTCGATGCGAACTGCGCCACTGCGACCTTGGGTGGACCGTCATGCGATCTGCGCCACTGCGACCTTAGGTTGAGCTTCCTGTTGCCTTATGGGGCCACGAAGCGTGTGATGGGTGTAGCAAAATGGGGCGAAGCCGCCATGCGAGCTCCGCCACTGGGACCTTAGGTGGAGTTCCCTGTGGGGCCACCAAGCGTGTGAGGGGTGTACCAAAGTGGGGCGAGGCCGTCATGCGAGTTCCGCCACTGGGACCAGAGGTGGAGCTCCCTATAGGGCCACGAAGCGTGTGAGCGGTGTGCCAAACTGGGGCGAGGCCGTCATGCGAGTTCCGCCACTGGGACCTTAGGTGGAGCTCTCTATGGGGCCACGAAGCGCGTGAGGGGTGTGCCAAAATGGGGCGAAACCGCCATGCGAGTTCCGCAACTGGGACCAGAGGTGGAGCTCCCTATGAGGCCACGGAACTTGTGAGGGGTGAACCAAAATGGGGCGAGGGCGCCATGCGAGTTCCGCCACTGGGACCTTAGGTGGAGCCGCCTAAAGGGGCCACGAAGCGTGTGAGGGGTGTGCCAAAATGGGGCGAGGCCGCCATGCGAGTTCCGCCACTGGGACCTTAGGTGGAGCTCCCCAGGGAGCCACGAAACGTGTGAGGGGTGTACCGAGACACAGACATGCGCAGAGCAAAGGCAAGGAGGGGGAGGAGGAGGAGAAGGAGGATGAGGAGGAGGAGGAGGAGAAAGGAGAAAGGAGGAACGCGGGGCGCTGTCTCTTCAAAACGAGGACCCAACACCACAGGATGGTTGGGAAAAAGGACCAACAACTGCTGGGATCCTCGGTACTCCGATGTCGAAGCGGGAAGGACAAAAGGTACCGATATCGCTACGCCCAAGACCTCTCCCGGGGTGCGTCCTGGGGTTCCAAGCGAATCCAGCCGTGGCGACGAGGGCCTCCCAGGAGGCCTAAACATGCGAAAGCCAAGCGAGGGTAGCGGTGTCGGTACTCTGTCCTCCTATGAGCTCAGCTCCTCGGCCCTCCGATGTCGAAGCTCCATCCGATGAGAACATCTGCGCACCGTTTGCAGGCGTAGGTCGACGGGCAGCCTACGTAGCGTTCGTAGGCTCGACGACGATTACAAAGTTGGGACGAATCAAGTCTGTAGTCGACCTCCTACACGACGTTTGAGGCCGCCCCCCCCTTCCACGGCGGACGAGAAGCGCGGCGCCTACTGGCGGCGCCCTGCGCGAGCTGCTGGCGGAGAAGAGCCGCCTCCCCGCGGCGCCCGTGGCCTCGATCTCGGCGGCCTGTGCCCACTGGGTGGCGTTGGGCACGCTGCTCGCCAGGACCTCCACCTCTTCAGGCGCTGGCCACACTGGGTGCACTTCGTGGGGCGGGGCTTCGCTGATGCCTCCTTTGGGGTCCGAGCAGATGGGGTCGGAGGGGTGCAACACGTCGCCCATGTGTCGCCGATGCATCGGCGACGCCGGCGTGGAGCACATCGGGCTCCACATCGCGGAGCATCGGCGATGCGGCGCGATCCTCCGACCACATCTACTCCGACCCCATCTGGGAGGCCTAGGTTGAATGCTGTGTACCAGGGGGTGGCCCCCCGCCCCACTCCACTAACAGGAACTGCCGCCACCCGAAGCAGACCTGGCTACGTGATTCTGGTGCATTATGTTGGGCTTCGAAGCCAGACCTCGAGCCGGCTCCCCTTTGTCCAGGGGTCCCGGCTATATCCGAACCTCCTCCGGCAGGGAGGAGCGAAACCCTCAGAACCGGGCGTTGCGATTCTTTCGCGCGGGGCGTTGTCGCCCGGCTGCGGGCCCCAGGATCCTCACAAGTTGACCAGGCTCGCAAAATGCTCGGACTTCTGCTGGCCCGGCTCGGTGCAAACCGGGGCCAGTCAGGTTTTGCAGGATCCTGCAGGATCCTGCGCGCTAGCCCGGGCTCATGCAGCCCTGGCTTTGAAGATCCTGCAAGATCCAGCGCTCTGGGTGACCCCCGTTTGCATCGACCCCCGTCTCAAGGCTCCCGGACAAAGATGGGCCCATGGGGAAACCATGGAAACCATAATGTACCGATACCGCTACTCCCTGGACCTCTCCCGGGGCGCGTTCTGACCAGGATTCCGAAGCGAATCCAGCGGTGGCGACGAGGCCTGCCCAGGAGGCCCCCAAAAGAGAGAGAACGAGGGAAGGGTAGAGGTATGGGTAACCCTTCTCCTCCTCCGAGCCCAGTGCTGCTCTGCGAGGCCCGATCCCGGGGGACGACACGAACGACCGACGAGCGCTGCGCGGAGCATCCCTGGGGAGGGGGGGCGGGCCAGCCAGCGGCCTGCGCGGGGCGACAGTGGCCGCCCCAGAGGTCCTCCACGGTGCTGTCCGGAGGTGCTGCTGCCGCATGACAAATGGACGCTCTGACCCTCTAACAGTGGACACTCCAACACCCTAACACACTAACACTCTAACAATGGACACTCTAACACTCTAACAGTGGGCACGAGAACTGCGGATGCCATGACAATGGACACGCTAACAATCCTATCATTGAATCAAACATATGCTTAAAATGTGTAACACATGTCCTAAAACATGTTTTTACATCTTTGGAAAACATGATTGAACTGTGTTTTGGACATCTGGACACTATTTGACAGCATGCTTCCTCTCCACTAATCGACTTCCACAACATGAGGGCACCACCCTTCCCGCAAAATCACACCATTCCTCATCCGACGCTGCTGTGAGCCATGCGGCGTCGTTGGTAAAAGGGGGGCCTGGGGCGGAGGCACCCGCGGCCCCTCCCGAGCTGGGGGAAGAGGCGGGGAGGGGTCCAGCAGGGCGGCGGAGGGGAGAGAGGGGAGGGGCGAGCGAGAGAGAGAGAGAGAGACACACACACACACAGAGAGGCTCTGTGGGACGATTGGTGGCAGGCCTCTGCCCCGAGGTCAAACACAAAATGCCGAGGGCCCCGGGGCAAGGGATCGCCAACGCGGAGCGACTCTGGGGGGCGCTGCCGAAGACGGCGCTGGGGCGCGGTGACCGCCCCGGCCCTGACCTTCCAATTATAGCCGGAGTGCAGTATCCCCAAACAGGGTTTTTAGACCCACTGCGGTTTCCAAGGTCGATTGCGTGCCCGCCTAGTGCGGGCTGGCATGGGATGTTAAAACATGCCTCCTCCTCCTCCTCCCTTCCTCCTCGTGCACCTCCTCTTCATCGCGAAAGGCATCTCGGAACCCAGAGTTGCGAGGATGTCTCCAGCGTAACGGGCTGGACCACCTCGCGCGCGGCATTTCGGACCCCAGAGTTGCGACGATGTCTCGGGCGAAACGTGCTGCGAGGAAGTCTCAGGCGAAACGGGCCGGACCACCTCGAGCGCGGCGTCTCAGAGCTCCGAGTTGCGGGGGCCTCCTGGTGCCTCCTGGGGCCTCCTGGGGACCTCCTGGGGCTTCCTCCCGGGCCTCCTGTGGCCTCCTGAACTCCACCTGAGGTTTCCTGAAGCATCTTGGGGCTCCCAGGGGGGATATCTAACCTGTGGCCGTTTGGGCCTCTCCAAATACAGGGGGGGGCCACAGGAGCAGGAAAAATCAACGAATCGACACCGGATGTGTATTAACTTGACACGTTCTGATAGAGGGCCTCCTGGGGCCTCCTGGGAGCCTCCTGGGAATCTCCTGCGGACCCCTGGGGCCTGTCCTGGGCGTCCTGCGGCCTCCTGAAGCTCTCTGGGACCTCCCCCTCCTCCTGCCTGCTCCCTCATGCACATCATCCGCCTCCTCCTTCTCCCTTCCATCTCCTCCTCCTCCTCCTCCTCCTCCTCCTCCTCCTCCTCCTCCACCTCCTCTTCATCGCGAACGGCATTTTGGAGCCTAGAGTTGCGAGGATGTCTCCAGCGTAACGGGCTGGACCACCTCGCGGGCGGCATCTCGGACCCCAGAGTTGCGACGATGTCTCGGGCGAAACGTGCTGCGAGGAAGTCTCAGGCGAAACGGGCTGGACCACCTCGAGCGCGGCGTCTCAGAGCTTCGAGTTGCGGGGGCCTCCTGGTGCCTCCTGGGGCCTCCTGGGGACCTCCTGGAGCTTCCTCCTGGGCCTCCTGTGGCCTCGTGAACTCCACCTGGGGTTTCCTGAAGCCTCTTGGGGCTCCCAGGGGGGATATCTAACCTGTGGCCGTTTGGGCCTCTCCAAATGGAGGGGGGGGGGGCACAAGAGCAGGAAAAATCAACGAATCGGCACCGGATGTGTATTAACTTGACACGTTCTGATAAGCGGCCTCCTGGGGCCTCCTGGGAGCCTCCTGGGAATCTCCTGGAGACCCCTGGGGCCTGTCCTGGGCGTCCTGCGGCCTCCTGGTGCCTCCTGGGCCTCCTGGGGACCTCCTGGAGCTTCCTCCTGGGCCTCCTGTGGCCTCCTGAACTCCACCTGAGGTTTCCTGAAGCATCTTGGGGCTCCCAGGGGGGATATCTAACCTGTGGCCGCTTGGGCCTCTCCAAATGGAGGGGGGGGCACAAGAGCAGGAAAAATCAACGAATCGACACCGGATGTGTATTAACTTGACACGTTCTGATAGAGGGCCTCCTGGGGCCTCCTGGGAATCTCCTGGGGGCCCCTGGGGCCTGTCCTGGGCGTCCTGCGGCCTCCTGGACCTCTCTGGGGCCTCCTGAGGCTCGCAGGGTCCCATGGAGGATATGTAACATGTGGCCTTCTGGGCCCCCAGGCTGGACCACCTCTTGCGCAGCATCTGAGAGCTCAGAGTTGCGAGAATATCTTGTGCGAAACAGGCCGGACCACCTTGCGCACGGCATCTCAGATCTCAGAGTTGCAAGGATTTCTCAGGCGAGACGGGCCGGACCACCTCGCGCAGGGCATCTCAGAGCTCAGAAGTTCGAGGATGTCTCAGGCGAAACGGGCCGGACCACCTCGCGCGCGGCATCGGGGAGATCAGAGTTTCGAGGATGTCTCAGGCGAAACGGGCCGGACCACCTCGCGCGCGGCATCTTGGAGCTCAGAGTTGCGAGGATGTCTCAGGCGAAACGGCCCGGACCACCTCTCGCGCGGCATCTGGGAGCTCAGAGTTTCGAGGATGTCTCAAGCGAAACGGCCCGGACCACCTCTCGCGCGGCCTCTCAGAGCTCAGATTTAGGAGGATGTCTCAGGCGAAACGCTCAATCCCGGACAACTCAGAAACGAGAGTTGTGAGGATGTCTCAGGCGAAACGGGCCGGACCACCACATTTGTTTGAGGATGTCTCTGCTTAGCTTTCCCTCGGCCGGAATTAGCTTCTATCACAACAGCACCCCGTTCAGCAAGCTGTTTGGGGAAAAATGCCCCTCTGGACCAATGGACCGATCTGGAACGTCGACAGCCTCGACAGGACCTTAGGTGCCGAGGTCCTGATTGTATGTCTATATATATATATATACATTAGATGTATTCTTTTCTTCCTCCCAGAAGGTCAGGGAAGCTATGCCCACGGGGGCGCTCATTCGGGCCAGCCGGGACCGCCCTCCCCGGCTCGTGGGGCCCCGCCTCCGCAGGAAGTGCAGGCCCAGGCACGCGAGGACGGGACTATTTTCCACACGGGGGCCCCGGGGCAGGCCCGGCCCTCTCGTCGTCAGGATAATCTTGCCCAGGGGCCTGGCGAGGGCCCTCGGAGGCCGAAGACCGCCAAAAGGCTCCCACCGAGTGTTTTTTTCCACGACGCGAGCATGTCCGGGCCAGCAAGAGGAGCAGGATCTGACCAACAAAACAAAGAATGCCCATGTTATACACAAGTTGGAGACTCTCTGTGACTATCTGATGATCCGTGAGCCACGTCTACATCGCAGAAAGGAGGCGGGAAGGGACACTGCCCCGAATTGTGGCCGCCGCGATCGCCGCGGCGAACTCCCAAACCGACCAGGAGGTCTCGTTCGGGGCCGACTACGAATTTGAATATGAATTGAGCTTATGTATGAGTGTACCTATACATATACACATATATAATACAAAATACATATATACACATATATGCATATGTCCACACATATAATACCTATACACATGGACATACATGTATGCATATATACAACTATACACACATAAACATAGTTCCACCTACACACATATATATATATGTGCACATGTATATACACATATGTGCACATACGTCCTTTAGATTTACACATATATATATATATACAAATGTAGATATGTATATCACGCAAGGAAGGAAGGAGCCGTCGGAGCAGCAGGCGGGCCACCTCGGCATGGTGCGCCAGCCCGGACTTCTCCTGCGACATCCGCACCAGCAGGGTCCCGGGCGCGCGCGCCTCTCCCGGGCCGCGGGCGCGCCGCTCTCTCGGGCGGAGGCGCCGCCCGGCCCGCGGGCGGGCACCTGCTCGGGGCCTGCCCCCCCCCCCCCCCCCCGAGCAGCACGGACACGCTGCCTCCTCCCCCTGACCTTCCAGGAGGGCACAACTCGCCATCGCAAAGGACGTCCATTCCCTGTGTTTTGTTCGGTCTCGTGCGTGGTTCTCTCGCCAAGTGATCAAGGATGCTCCTCGATGGCCCTCGCCGAAGGAAGAATGCACACGCCCGAGCGATGCCAAGGCAACAAGAAATAGCACCAGGACGTCGGCGTCCAAGGTCCGGTCGAGGCTCTCGGCAGTCCAGATGGGTCCAGGTCTGCAGGGCTGGAGGGCTCTCTTGTAGCACTCTGGGAGGTCGGGGCCTGCCCCGCCTCCCCGAGATCCGTGCGACATGCAATTTCTTCACACCGGGCGCCGTCGCCCGGCTTCGGGCCGCGCGCGGGCCATCGCAGAGCGATCCGGCTCGAGAAGTGCCGCGGCAAGAAGATCGGGCCTAGGGCTCCGGCGGTACCTTTGCGATGTTCCGTGTGTCGCAACGCCGGAGCTCAGAACCCCTCCAGCCCCTCCTCATCCCCTCACCCCCACGGCATCCTCAACACCTCCTCCCCCATCCCTCCCCAGCTTTCCAGCTCCTTCTCCCTGCTGCAGGTCACCCGTGGGACGGAGGCAAAGAGGCACCGAATGTAACGAACTCTCGGGTTCAAGAACTTCTGAGTCTGTGGATTTTTGCCACCCACAAACTTGTAAAGGGATGTAGATATGCCAAGGTTGCGCGCTGCCTTATCGTCATCCTCGTCGTCGTTGTCGTCCTCCTTCTGCTCGCCTCGCCCCACATGGCCTCCCGATCCTCTCAATTTCGGCTAACGATCGGCATGCTAGATCTTATGGCCCAGAACTCAGAACACGGGTGTGTCCCTACCCGGGCAATGAAAGTATTTCAGCAAGGAAGGAAACGCTCGATCAACTTCAAAGATGTGTAACCAGCGCGTGCACTACAGCAAGTACACAAGGGCCAAGAACAGTGGACAGAAACTGACTGAAGCCCACGAGGGTGCAGAGGAGCGTATGATGGCAAGGATTTCCCAGAACCTCCAACTGGCCAAGCTTCCTTCTCCCCCTCCTCCTCCCCCTGCTCATCCCACTTATCCTCATCATTCTCCTTCTCCTCCTTGGCTACACCACGAGGAGTAGGAGGGCGCGCTGGCATGAGCACGGCCAGAGATTGCGGGCAGCACGCCAATCTTGACGCTGAGGAGAGCACGGCGTCCAGGCCACATCGAGTCTCTCGAGCCCTGGCCCCCAGTCAAAATGGTTGCGGCACGGAGTTGCGGTTCATCGCGCGGCCTTGGACCCATCGTTGACTTCGATGAGTGGCACATCCATCGCGTTGACGGTGATCCACTGCTGCGGAGACCACCAGGGACCCTTGCAGATGCGAGGACTTTTTCGCTCAGCAGACGGTACGGAGCGCTGTGAGACCAGCAGAAAAGGATATATATATATATATAGAGAGAGAGAGAGAGAGCGAGACAACAAACAAAACATATAGAAATAGAGAGAGAGAGAAAAAAAAACAAATAGACAGAGAAATATATAGAGAGAAAGAGAGAGAGAGAGAGAGAGAGAGAGAGAGAGAGAGAGACATATATATATATATAGAGAGAGAGAGAGAAATAGAGGATACATATATATATATATATATATATATATTATAGAAAGAGAAACAAAAGTAGAGAAAGAGAGAGAGAGAGAGAGAGAAAAAAACAAATAGAACGGCGCCCTGCAGGCCGGCCAACCGCCCCAGAGCGGGGCGCGCGGCGGAGCCTCCGCCGCGATATATCCCGGCAGATCTCACAGACGCCCAGCAATCCGATGTTTCCACAGAAGATGCGGCTCTTGCTTCTCACAAGCACAAGTTTTTGCTGATTATCATGAATACTTAGCTTCTTAAGTCTCGCATGCAGAGGGGCACTCAGAACTGCCAGAGTCAGAAATTACATTATTGCATCGGACGCTGTGTGTGTCGTGCCGAGATCATTCCGACACGACCCATATGTGAGATCAGTAACAACGAGGTAGCGCCACTTTTAGCTGGGCTGGACCCGACCTAAACCCTTTACATACCCCCAAGCTCCGTGTACGAGCTCATACGACACCACCCATCCGTGGCCACATAAAGGCGAAGTCCTTGAAGAGACAGGGCACATGTGACCCTCGCTTAGAGGTGTGCCCAGGGGTGCAGGCCGTCTCAGAAGGAGGCGGGGCTTCTTGGACGCCGTGCACCTCCTGAGATACCGTCCGTGGCTTCGGAGAAGACTTACAAGGCCTCTCAGAAGGCGCCAGGGTTTCTCAGAAACCATGCCGCCTCCTTAGAAAATCTCCCCTCTCCCGCTTACCCCTTGGGCGCGCCGGCGATACGACACCACCCGTCAATTGCCACATCAAACCGAATCGTTAAAGAGACCGGACACATGCGGCCCTCCCTTCGACAGCGCACAGCGACGTCGCATGCTAGAAGCAGCCAAGAACCGCAGACATGACCTCTGCAAGTACAGGAGCCATACCTGCCAGGGCCTGCGTGCTGACGACCTGTCGTTTGTCTGGACCGGGCCCGGAAGACCAGTACGCAAAAAAAATGGTGTCATGGCGGAAGAGGGTACTACTGATCAAATGCGTGCGCATTCCCGTGCCCGAGAAGGCTCAAGATGACATCCAGAAGGCCTTGAGACGGCTGTGGTAGCGCCTCAGACTGCTTCTCAGAGTCCCGCGACGTCACCAAGACGCCTCCAAAAACCCCGAAGATGGCCTCGGCCCAAGACAGACGGCTCCAAGACTCCTGGACGGCCCATCGACTCCTCAACATCCCCGACAGGCCGCACGGTGGTCAACCCTGTCAACCCTGGACGAGCCACCTCAGCGGACAGTTCCACTGCATGCTTCTACGCTTCCCTGGTTAAGGCAATTCGCCTGGCGATCGTTTCTGGATGGCGATGATGTGGCGATGATGGCGGCGATAATGTTCACTCAACACACTGCAATGCGAACCGCGGACATGCAACGCAAAGCCAGGCTTCGCAAATCGAGCAATCGCGGAGCCCAAACAACAAAAACAAACAACGGCGCGCCCTGGCAGCCCCGCGGCTTCCCTTTGCGTGGAGAAGTGCGTGGAGCTGGTGCAACTGGCACACTGGAAAGAACTGGTCACAGAACTGGTCCATTTCAACTAGTGTCAGGCATAGAACTGGTCGTCACAAATATTTAACTTTAAATATCTAAGCTCTTTCTTTTTAGAACATAGACCAGTTCGATGCCAGACCCTATTTTTTACGGACGAGTTTCATGACCAGTTTTATCCAGTTGTACCAATTCCGCAACGAAGCAAACCCGCATCAACGAAACAACGAAACTCTTCTTACCCAGACGGTGCCCGGACAAAAAGTGTCCACACCCATGGCGGCAAGGCGATGCAACACCATAACAACCACAACTCCGAAACGCCAGTGCTTCGCACCCCTCCCCCCAAACTCAAAGTTCAAGTGCCCACATTTTGTCCCTGGCCTTTGGCCTGCCGCCTAAACCCGTCAACGTTGAATCTAGGGGAAGGGGGGTACACCCTGCGAAATGCTTAAGAAATCATGGGTTAAGAAATTCATAGTCTCAGAACTTGAATAAAAACCAAAGATTTCGATTAAAATCTTAGGAGTTACATTGAAACATTAAGAATAATCGAGACCCTGGCCGAAATTTTAAGTTTTCTTAAGCATCGCCTGAGGTGTATGTATGTTGGTCCGACGTACTTTAATGAGTCAAGGTCTTGGCCAGACACGTGTGGACACTTCTAGTCCACCCACGGGCGGCCAGTCAAACGGCCCCTGAGAGACACTCCGACAAGCCCACGTCGAGTAGAGGATCGACCACGGAATGATCCCAAAACTTTTTCCGGGGTCCAACCTACCAAACATACAAAGCATGCTTCGTGGAGCTACGGGGCACCCTGCGTATCTATTAGAAGCTCGACGACGAAATTGGGCAACACCATCGTGCAGTCTGCCCCGCCCTCGACCATTGAGGAGCGAGGAGCACGCTCGGTCACCGAGGAGCTCGCCGTCTTGAGGCCCCGCCGGCCCACTCGCGGATCGGGGCCAGAACTCGCCCGCCGGCCCCCCCGCCCCGCCCCGCCGAGCGCAGGTCGGCCCTGTAGAAAGGGGCCAAGGGGACACACAAATGCATTGGCTCACATCCCAAGATCCCTTTCGATGTACACCTATATATCTGTGTATGTATACATATATATATGTATATATATGTATATATATATATGTGTGTGTGTTTCGTAGTTTTTCGCTCTTCGTCTTCCCCACCGGTGCGAATATTTCCCCATATGCGACTGGGAATGTGTATGTATATATATATATATATTTCCGCGTGTCAGTGCCGACTTGTCCCTCCTGACCATAGACCCACAGATCAGCCCCGGTGAGGCAGGGCCACCCTGAGCCCCGTCGGCCGACCGATCTTCGTCGTCATCGGTTTCGTCGTCATCCTCGTCCACGACGTGCTCCCTGCTCGCTCTTCCATTATTTCTCCTTCGTCCAGTCCCCCTTCCATTCCCCCCGCCCACTTGTGCAGACTCGCGCTCGTCAACAAGCTGTGTCAAGAGGCTGCGCAGCAAGTTGCGTGAGAGAAAGCACCGTTGGATATGACGCTACAGGTTGCGCCATGGGTTGCGCTTGCGCTACAGGTTGCGCCAGACCATAGGTTGCGCCATGGATTGCGCCATGACTTGCTCCATGGGTTGCTCTGTAGGTTGCGCCATGGGTAGCGTGCCATAGGTTGCGCCACGTTTTGGGCCGTGGACTGCGGAGCTGTAGGCTGCGCGGTACACTGCGCCCTCGGCCGCCGAAACTTGAAACGGCCTGCTTTGGCTGCGCGATTGGCTGCGCCCTTGGCCGCCGAGGATGAGGACGCCTGCCATCAGTTTTGCAACGAGGTGCGACCTCGGCCGCCGACGCGCCAAGCCGCCCGCCATAAGTTGCGCCACAGGCTGCAGCATCGGCTGCCAGAAGCAAGACCGTCTGCTCACATATGCGGCAGGTTCGATTGGTCACCCAGCTCACGCCCCGAAAGGGAAAACCCAGCCGAAATATCAGAAGATACGTTTGATATCGATCGCCATCTGGCAGACTTGCCTCGCCCGCACGAGGGTCACGCATGACATGGAACAATGTCAAGATAAACGGGTTACCTCCCACTCCGAGCATACAATATACCCAACGTTGTATACACATGTACGTATGTGCATGCACATATGTAACTCTATGTGTAAGTCGATGTGCAGACATGTAGATCGGCATGCTGGTGTGCACACGCGTGTACTACATATGGTGTACATACATTAGCACCTCACCTCTTGAATAGACACAGGTGCCGCCTTTGCATACATAGATCTTTAGATGTTCGCCACCGTGGGCCCCAAACACTGTGTATACCTCATTAGGTTGGCCGTCTAGGTGTCGCAACATATATGTATGTATGTATATATATATATATATGTACGTACATGCATATACACATAACATGTGTGGAATATATATATATATATATGGTGCCAATATGTTGTGCACCACATGATGTGCAATGTGAGTGGCGCGGTAAATGTGGGTAAATCCATGTGGTGCATCACGCGACGTGCAATCTATGGTGCACAACGTAGGTTGGGCAATCGGTGTTGTGGAACCTACGCTGTGCATTATGCGCAGTACAATATATGTGGTCCAACATATGTTGCGCAATCTATCTGGTGCGATGTACGCTCTACGTATAAGTGGTGCAATATGGGTGGGCCAATCTGCGTGGTACAATACACGTTGTGCAATGGATGGTGTGCACTATAGGCTGTGCAATCTCAGTTGTGGTACATTTGTGGTGCAATATATTTGGTGGAATCGGTGTGCTACACCCTACGTTGTGCAGCCCATGTGAAGCACAATCGGTGGTGCAATCTACGTGGTGCCAGCCGACGGTGTGCAGTATATGTGGTGCATTCTACTTCGTAATGGGTTGTCACCTCCACTTCTCGCGCAATCATTCCACCCACCCTCACGCAACGTGGTTTGCAGAGCCCCTGAGGCGGCATTTGTGATGCCTGCCTGGCGGTGGTTGGCGTATCGCGGCCGAGCTGGCGCGCGTAGGCTCGCGGGCAGAGCGGCCAGCTAGTCTGGCGCGACCGGCGCAGCCGCGGGGGGACTGACCGCTGGGGGACTATCCAGCGCGTCCCACAGCGGGCACTTCAGTGCTATTCGGTGACTCGTGCGGACCCGGTATGATGGCGACCACGACGACGGCAGACACGATGAACATTGCAGCGATGCTAATGGCGACGATGACGATGACAACGGCTAGGCGTATGACGGCGCCGATGCTCATCACGCCGAAGACGATGATAGTGTCCACGCGTCGGCGATGAAGCTTTCGGAAGGATTTCGGCATGCGCGCGCGGCCGACGAGCGCGAGTGGCCCGCATGGTGTTATTTGACAGGGGTCAACCCCTCCCTCCCCCAGCACGCGCGCAAGGGCGTTCGAATGATTTGGACATGCGCGCGCGAGAAGCCCGTTGGGTCGCACTTGTTGAACATGTTGAAAACCCATGGTGCTCCTAAACATGTGCAAGAGCGCACGCAAACCTTTCCCTTGTTTGTTAAAACCTGATGTTGCAAAACCATGTGTTGTTTATATGTTTTCGGGACACTCGGTTTTACCTTCCTTACGGGGTCAAATGTTTTCGAAGGGTGTCGGAATGCACGCGCGACGACGCGCGCGTGTGCACTTCGCCCCGTTTGTTCGCAATGGAACGTTGAAAACTGTTGATTTTTTATCAACGAATGTGCGCGCATACTGTTTTTCCCCGAGGATGGTCAAAGGGGGGGACGACACCAGCCTGGCTGGGATGAAATGAATTCATGCTTAGAACTAACGATGATGCAGAATCACATGTAAATTGCACATCCCCCGGGCGGGAGGATAGTCACGGGGGGGGGAAATCCAAATTCCTTCTTCGAAAGGAAAACCTACTGGTACCATATACGTGGTGCAACCCACGTTACGCGCAATATGAATTGTACATCCTACGTGGGGCAATAAAAGTAATGCAACTTACGTTTTACAATGTATGTTGTGCAATCGATGGCGTGCAATCTATGTGGTACAGTATATGCTGTGCTACATGCGTGGTGCAATATACTGGCAGTGACGAGCGGCGACGGGGCGGCGTAGCCGCCAGACCAACAGACAGGCCCACTTACGGGCGGCGACGATGTGGCGACGGGGCGGCGACGGCGGCCACATAGCCACCACACCGAAGAAACGGCCCAGACGACGGGCGGCGACAAGGCAACGATGGGGCGGCGACGGCGGCCACATGGCCGCGAGACCAAAGACACGGCCCAGTTCCGTAGAACAGAAGGACGAACCCCTGAGTGAAAGCACTATGTTGTGAATCTGAATGCGCTCTTGTCTATGGATATACGTATAGTAATATGTGTATGTATGAGCACACACCTGTTACGCAAACACACATGTACGCTTGTGGTAACACGTATGTTTCAAACGCGCTACCTGCGACATACCGCAGTATTCATGTGCATACGAACTCGATACGCGCACACGTGAACCACAACATATGTAAATATGCGCGTGTGTATGAACTTGGGGTTACACCTTCATTCGCAATGTCCACGGGGCAACCCTCGGGACAACCACGGGACAACCCGCGGGGCGACCAACTGGACAGCTCACGCGAGGACCCACGGGAAAATCCACTGGACAACCCACGGGACAATCACGGGACAACCCACGCGACACCTCACGGGAACAACCCAAGAAACAACCGCGGGACAAACCACAGGACACATCACGGGACAACCACAGGACAACCACGGGACAACCTACCACTGGGCATCTCCGCGGGCCACCGCAAGACGCACGGTCGGAATCAGCCTGTCGGACTCAGCCCTGCCTACGGCCGACACATCATCGCCCTTGTGCAACTTCGCCTCACCGGCATGCACGACCGAACCACAAAGAAAGCCCATTTCCGGGTAGGGTCGCTGCGCGATCACAGCCCCAACCTCCGACGAACAAGCGTAAAAGGAAGAGACATAGACAGAAAGAGAGAGAGAGAGAGGACAAAAACATACATACAATACGATGGACTCACCAGGGTGGAGAGGAGAGGAGTCCATGAAGTAGGCAGGCCCGATGACGAGGAACAAATATTCGCATAGAGACAGGGCGCAACAGATACGAGGCATAGACACAATGGTGCTAAACCAATGCAGAAATTCCAAGGTGACCTCAACGGTACGAAAAACTTCCGCCATCGTGTCGCTGCGCACCATAAACTTACCTGAAGCAAGGCGCGGGGTGAATGCGTGAGAGCGCAGCAAAACATAAGGAAAACGTCTTCCACGGACGCTGGGCGTCGCATATTCCTTTCCCCTCGCCGGAACAGGGATCCCTCCCCCCATCGAACCCCCCCCCTCCTTTGGAACGGGGACCCCCGCCCCCGTCCAGCGAGCAACCCCCATTACTAGACCCTCTCCCGCTGAGTCACAGGAGAGTTACACCCAACCCAACGCGCGACGACAAATGATCACGAGCACGACAACAAACATGACGACGAGAACGACGACGACAGCGAACACGACGACGACAAGCATGACGACGACGCTGACGAAGCCGACGCCGGCGAAAACGACGACGGCGAAAACGACGACGCCGACGACGACGCTGACGACGAAAATGACGACGAGACGACGACGACGACGACGACGACGACGACGACGACGGCGACGGCGACGGCGACGACGACGACGACGACGGCAAAGGCAAAGGCAACGGCGACGACGGCGGGCGGGACCCTAACGGGCCCGTCGGGCGGGCGGGCCCCGACGGGCGGGGCGGGCGGGGCCCCGCAGGGCGGGGCCGGCCGGGCGGGCCACGGAGGCGGGCGGGCGGGCGGTCGCGCGGCCGAGCAGCGCACGCGTCGGGCGGGCGGGACCCTGCCGGGCGGGCCTTACCAGCCTGGAACATATCCCTATCCCTATGCGGGGCGCCTCCTCACCACGATGCCAATCTCAGGGATTCTCCTATTTTTTGAGGGCGGATCCCTGAGGTTGTCATCGCCCTTCGGCGTGTCAATCTCAGGGTCAGGGATGCGTTCGAGGCCGGTACGGGTCAGGGCGGGCGAGGCATCAAAGCGGGCAGACTTCCGCGCCTCCGGGCGGGCGGGGGCCCTCACGGAAAGGGTCGGGCGGGCGGGAGCCCATTGGGTGGGCGGCGGGCGAGGCCCCGGGAGCGGGTCGGACACGGTGCCGCGTCGTCCGCGTCGTCATCGCAGTTGTCGTCGGCAGCGTCAGCGTAGTCGTCGTCAGCGTCTTCAGCGTTGTCGTCGTCGTCGTGGTCGTCGTCCTCCTCGTCGTCGTCACCACCGCCACCATCGTCGTCGTCCTTGACTTAGTGCGTCGACGTCGTGGTCGTCGTTAGCGTCGTCGTCGTCTCGTAGTCGTCGTAATCAGCCAGCCTGCGAAGAGCTTGTCGGTTACGCAGAAGGGGGATGCCCAGCAGGAACATCAACAGAGGGGGCCCGGGGGAACAGCAAGAGGAGGCGGAGGAGGCGGAGGAGGAAGATGAGGAACATCAGGGCGGGGAGCAGGAGGAGCAACAGAAGTACCAAGAGCACACGGAGAGGGAGGCGGAAGAGGACAAGGAGACAGAGGGAGAGGAGGCCGCGGTTGCTCGAGCGGAGAACCCTCGAGGACCAGGAGGCGTGCAGAGCGAGGACGACTGGGGAAAGACTGGTCGATACCTCGCCGACCATTCCTCATCCCCACCTTCTCCTGCTCCTCCCTCTTCCATCCTTCCTTTCTTCTCCCGCCCCAACGCCTCCCACTCCTCTCTCTGTCCCTCTCTCTCTCCCGCCCTCCTAGTCGATGCGCTACCGAAGCGTCAACGACTTGGCGTCACTCGCCCGCTCCTCCCCCTCACCTCTTCCCTTCCCCTCCCTCTCCTTCTCTTCCATCCTAGACCCCCTCGCGTCGTGAAGAATCGCGACGGGAAACTTCTGGTAATTTTCTGCCTCCTGGACCTTGCCGGGCCTCGGGGCCGTCAAAACACGACTCGGGACTAGAAACCAGTCCTGGGGAATGGGTCGAGACCTCTGGGCGTCGACGTTATTGAAAAAAACATGCTGTCAGAGGTCTGGGATCCGCGTTCCCTCCCTCCCTTGTGGTTCTCCTCCCCCTTCCTTCCAACCCCCTGGACCTCTATGGGGTCAGGACTGAAGACCCGTACGGATGGGCGGAGCAACGGAGTCGACACGCAAAGATTGCCCTTAACAGTGCGCAACGCGCTCGGGTACTCCCTTGCATGCGACTGCAACAAGATAGCCCCAATGCGGACGAGGTCAGGCAGTTCCATCACGAAGAGAAGTTTGCTTGCTTGGACGCGGGGTATTTCCGGTTTCCAGCCATACCCGAGTCCACTTGAGCTACTGTGCTGCCATTCACTGCCAGGCGAGGGCGGCGGAAGCGAGCTCAAGGCTGGCCTGGCGATGAATTCGGCGTGGGCATGACCACATCGGCAATCTTGTCGCCGGTGCAGTCGAAAAATTCCAGGTTGTTGCTGAGGAACGCCTGCCGCACGTTGGCCAGCATGGTTCCGTCGGACGCCACGAAGCGAACAGCCTAACCAATGGCGCATCGCCCGCCGACTGTCATTCTGCCCCGGCCACATCCTGCGCCCCGCTGCCGCAAAGGCCACCCTCTGCTGCCATGTCTATAGTGGGCCCTGGAAACGACAGGGCCGTTTTTTTACCGGTTCCGTTTTGCCGTTTTTGTTGCCGATTCCGACGCCGTTGTTTTACCAGTTCCGTCGCCGTTTTTTGACCGGTTCCGGCTCTGGTTCCCATCCTGGAGCCGTTTTTGTGCCGTTTCCGGTCGCCGTTTTTTTTTGCCGTTTCCATTTTCAAAGGACATTTTTTGGGGAAACGGTGAAAAACACGGCCCTGCCGTTTCCCGGGCCCACAAAGGTCTGCACTCCTTGATGCGAAGAGTGCTCTCCGCACGGCCGCTCTGCCCCAAACCTCCCGACGCCATGGTCCTGTCACAACGGCACTGGTCCCGGGGACCGGCTTTTCATCCCGAGCCGTTGTTTGTTGGCGGCGAGCGAGGGGAGGCAGTGTGAAGGAGCAGGCCTTCTCAGAATGAAGGGGCCCCAGGACACACAAATAAATACACACAAATAAAAAGATTCCCTATATTTTCCTATATTTTCTGGGTTTTTGTCTTCCCCCCACTTCCCATATTTTCCCATATTTTCCTGGGAATCGACGAGTAATTTTGTCTGTGTTTTTTCCTCTCCTGACAGAAGGCGGCAGGACCTCTCAGAAGCCCTCGCGCCTTCTGAGAGGTTCTTTTCTGTGCCGGGGGAAGGCCCCCGGAAAACCTCTCAGAAGGCCAGGGGACTCCCCGACCTTCTGAGAAGGCCTTCTCCTTCTCACTCCCCCCCTCGCTCGCCGCCGACTTCGACTCTCCCGGGGACCGGCGCGAGGAACCCCCGAGGCCGAAGAAAAGGGCCGAGGACCTCCCGCCGCGATCCCTTTCGCGCCGCGAGGCGCCCGCCGGGGCTCCCGGCCCTGCGGAGAGGGTGCTCCCCGCACGGCCGCTGGCCCCTGCTGGGGCACGGGGCGCGCGGCCAGGCGGGGGCACCCGCGAGAGAGGCCTGGCAGAGGGGCAGGCAGCGGCTGATCGATGGTTCAAAGGTTTTAGGAATGAAAAAACGCCAGTACCCTGGGTTACAAGTCCGTGGTCAGTCAACCTCCTGGGAACTCCCTCTGGCCAGAGAGCCGCCAGGACGCCGCGCGGCACGCGCGATACGCAGGGTTGACCCTGTCGGCCCACAGGAGGTTCAGCGCACAGCGCCTCATAAACCAGGGCAGGGGCGTCTTTTTACGCCCTTGAAAGATGGGGCCCTGAGGGATGGGGTCCTAAGGATGGGAAGGGGTCCAAGAGTGAGTCTACACTGCTGGAGGCACCTCGTCCGTAGGCCCCCCTCCCTCTGGACCCCCATCTTTGAACCGCCGAGCAGAGGGGGCGGCCGTGCGCACGCGGAGGACGGGGGGGGGGGACGATCCGCAGAACGCGCGTTAGCGCCAGAGTGCGCTTGCCAACCGTAGCTTATGAGGAAAATCGTGGAGGCCTCGCGGGGCAACGCGAGGCCCAACTTGCGTCGGATCCGCGTCTGATTCACATCGGATTGCGTCGGCTCTGCGCCGGCTCTGCGTCGGAGCCGCGTCCGCCGGACTTACGTCGGGCTCGTGTCGACACTTCGCCGCGCAATCGTCGCCCCGTGTCTGACGGGGCGGACATGCGGACCTCGCCATCGCTCGGACGTCCATTCTCTGTGTTTTTTTTTTCGGTTTCGTGCGTGGTTTTTTTTTTGCCAAATGATCAAGGATGCTCCTCGATGGCCCTCGCCGAAGGAAACATGCACACGTCCGAGCGATGCCAAGGGACCAGATCATACAACCACTGCGCGCCGAGGCGTGGCCTTCAGGATTTCTCCGCATAACTATAGCCATGAGGGCCGACACGGGCCGCGTGCTGCCGGCGGAGCTGAATAGGGGCAACACGCGCAGAGGGCCAACGTGAAGGGGCCCTGGGACACACAAGTAAATACACACAAATAAAAGGCTTCCCCATATTTTCCTATATTTTCTGGGCTTCTGTCTTCCCCCCCACTGCCCATATATTCCTAATTTTCTAAGAAATCGACGATTCATTGTGTCTGTGTGTTTTTTCTCCTCCTGATAACGCACGTCCTGAGGATCCATCGGGCGCGGGGGAGGGGGGCACCTCGGACGCGCCGGCCCGCGCTTCGGACCCCCCGCCGCGCCTTGGACAGGCTCAGGGACTCGCCCATCAAGCTCGCGACAGCCTCGCCGCTGTCCGTGCGCACCACTCTGTACAGCTCGGTCGCGCTGGGGGGCCAGATGTTTGACCCCGGGGCTTCCGACGGTGTCTCCTCACCGGCTGCGCCTGGCGTGCGCACCAGCGCCGGGCCGTCTCCCTCTTGGGGGACCCCGCTGCACCTGCTTCGGGACGGCCACGAGCAGAGTGAAGGTGTTGGCGGCGGGGTGGGGCCGAGGACCCGGGTGAGTGCTAAAGGTACGCGCATGTCGTCTTGTCTCTCCAGGGGGGGAAGGAGAACGACTTCTACGCTCTTCCCCCATATTGAAGCCGCCTGGATGGTCCACGTCTCCATGCCCGGATCCGCCCCGAGATCCTGATCGGAACGCGCTCCATGACTGGTCCAGCCCCTGACGGCTCTGCGGGCCCCAGGGTCGTCCAGCAGATTTCGGGTCCTTGCAACGAACCACCCGACAAAGGGGGCATGTCGTCTTGTTTTTCTGGAGCTTTGCAGAAGCCCCAGGCCCAGATGGACCCACCGCCCCCACCGCCGGACCCTCATCCTGATCCCGCCAGCTGGATTCATAACGAGAAGCGGAGCCGGTCGAAGATCCAATGGACTGCGCCGAGCCCGATTTTCCGACGAATCGACCGGATCAGTGACCTGATCGAGCCCAGGTCAAATCAGAATCTGCTGAAATCAAGGGAGTCGCCAAGCACATCCCTCACGAACCAACACTGCGCTGCCGACCGAGTCCTGACGCCAGCTCGCGACAGCAATGACCAGTCCTCGGGCGATGAATCAGTATGTCCACCTCCAGAGCAGTGGCAACTGCCGCGGCCATACTACAGACCCATAGCGAGTGAGAATCGGACCTTCACGAGCTGGGCCTCCTCGTTTAGAGAAATCACGCCTGACGGATGCGAGGTAGAATGCGCCTACACCCATAATGCACAAGTAGAAATTAATGAACGCGTAAGCGCAATCCCCCCGACAAACCCATGCGCTCGCCAGAATGCGCAACCATCTTATTGGCATCCGTTCGCTAAAGGAGTGCGCGACGCCGGTATCAACACCAATTCACAATGTATCTTTCTTGCCCCAAACGCTAAGGATAAACCGCCAATGCTACAACCGTGCCCAATACACCTTAAGCACAACCGTGCAGTACGATGCAGTGTGAGGAAATCCCAGCTTGACACTACGCTCTCATCCCTGGGATCGTTCGTTCTACGTCGTTGCATCTCCCCCATGTGCGGAGCTCCCTACATGAATGGAACAACACCGAGGGCTGCTGTGACCGATCGTCGACTCTGGGAACCTGAATCCAAGGTTCGTTCGCAAACCAGCGGAAATCCCCACCCCCTAAGGTCAAGTCCATAGTGGAAGAAAACCACGCCCCGCGGAAGAAAACCACTGCCCGTGGAGCCCAGCCCCGTACGACGTCCAGATCGAAGGTGGCTGGCAAGGGGTCGCTGCCGGCTCACCAGACGCGCCAAGAGCCGCTTGCATTAATGAGCATCGTTTAACCGATCCCCATCCCCACCAGCGTGGGCTCACCGTTCGAGTGATAAGGAGGTTGTGGAGGGGGGGGGGGGAGGGGGGGGAACCAACATCTGACTCAATCGATCTCACTATCGATCTCACTCAACGGGACACCACGGGACACCACGGGTCACTTGTCGATCTCACTATCGATATCACTATCGATCTCACTCAACGGGACACCACGGGACACCACGGGCCACCACGGGACACCACGGGACACCGCGGGACACCTCTCCGATCTCACTATCGGTCTCACTATCGAACTCACTATCGATCTCACTCAACGGGACACCATAGGACACCATAGGACACCACGGGACACCACGGGACACCTTGGGGCACCTCACCGATCTCAACGCCGATCTCAAAATCGATCTCACGATCGATCTCACTTAACGGAACACCACGGGACACCACGGGACACCTGTCGATCTCATTATCGATCTCACTTTTTGGGACACCACGGGGCACCTCGGGGCACCACATCGATCTCAGTATCGATCTCACTATCGATCTCACTCAACGGAACACCACGGGACACCACGGGACACCTGTCGATCTCAGTATCGATCTCACTATCGATCTCACTCAGCGGGACACCACGGGACACCACGAGACACCTGTCGATCTCACTATCGATCCCACTATCGATCTCACTTTTTGGGACACCACGGGACACCTCGGGGCACCACATCGATCTCAGTATCAATCTCACTATCGATCTCACTCAACGGGACACCACGGGAGACCACGGAAACACCACGGGACACCTGTCGATCTCAGTATCGATCTCACTATCGAGCTCACTTTTTGGAACACCGCGGGACACCACGGGACACCACTAGGGCCATCGCTGGACGGACGGACGGACGGGGGAGAATCATTTGTCTTGACTTCGCCCTAGCAACGACGGACACCACGAGACACCACGGGACACTGCGGGGCACCGCTAGGGCCAACGCCGGACGGACGGACGGACGGACGGAGAAGAATCATTTGTCTCGACTTCGCCCTAGCAGCGGCGGGTTCAGTCCTCTCGCGCGCCAAAGCAGCTTCGCCTCGCCCGCACGCGCGACACGAACGAAACGAAACGGTGTCCCGGTTGGGGGTCTCCGTTCCACTGCGATCTCACCCCCCAACATCTGATCCCCAACTGAGGTGGTGAGACGGTGGCTCGAGATGTGGATGGGGATGGGAATAGGGATCGGTTGAACGATACTGAATTAATGAGGCCGAGGGTGAAAATGAGGAGGAGCATGAAGATAAAATGGCCTCGGCAACACCTCCTCGACCGTGAACTTCGTGGGAGGGTCGAAGCCCGCCGCGCACTTCGCCGTGGTGCTGCAGCCAGCGGGCCTGCGCTCCGTGCTGCTCGGGCCCGCTGCTGCTGCCCGAACACAGAGCGAGGAGGGAAGACATCGTCCCTGGAATTCCGTCTCTCTTGCGATCGGCATTAGAGCTGCGCTTCGCAAGATGTTCGCCCAAATCTCGACTCTGTGAGCCGCATCTCCAACAGAAGGTTCCAACACTCCCGGTGCAGAGCTCAGCTCTGGAGAACAACATACGGTCAAACGCCGCTCCACCGCCTCTGCAGTAGACCCCCGCGCAAGAATGTATACTTGTAGCGTTTACGCAACCAATACCTATACGACCACGCTTCGGGTGAGAAGGAGGTTCTGGTGGAGAGGGGAGAGGGGGGGAACCAACATCTGACTCAATCGGTCTCACTATCGATCTCACTCAACGGGACACCATAGGACACCACGGGACACTTGTCGATCTCACCATCGATATCACTATCGATCTCACTCAACGGGCCACCACGGGCCACCACAGGTCACCACGGGACACCACTGGACACCTCTCGATCTCACTATCGGTCTCACTATCGATCTCACTCAACGGGACACCATCGGACACGAAGGGACACCAGGGGACACCGCATCGATCTCACTATCGATCTCACTATCGATCTCATTCAACGGGACACCACAAAACACCACGGGACACCACGGGACACCTGTCGATCTCACTATCGATCTCACTATCCATCTCACTCAACGGGACACCACGGGACACCACGGGACACCTCGGGGCACCACACCGATCTCAGTATCGATCTCAGTATCGATCTCACTATCGATCTCACTCAGCGGGACACCACGGGACACCACGAGACACCTGTCGATCTCACTATCGATCTCACTATCGATCTCACTTTTTGGGACACCACGGGACACCTCGGGGCACCACATCGATCTCAGCATCGATCTCAGCATCGATCTCACCATCGATCTCACTATCGATCTCACTCAACGGGACACCACGGGACACCACGGGACACCGCGGGACACCGCGAGCCACCGCCGGATGGACGGACGGACGGGGGAGAATCATTTGTCTTGACTTCGCCCTAGCAACGTCGGACACCACGGGACACTACGGCGCTAGGGCCACCGCCGGACGGACGGACGGACGGGGGAGAATCATTTGTCTTGACTTCTAGCAACGGCGGGTTCATTCCTCTCGCACGCACTTGCAGCTTCGCCTCGCCCACACGCACGACACGAACGAAACGAAACGATTTCCCGGTTGGGGGTCTCCGTCCCACTGCGATCTCACCCCCCAACCTCCGACCATCATACCATCACTGCAAACAACACCCGCTGAGCCAAAGAGCCCTTGTCACTATTGAAGTCGACAGTCGACCCCCTGCCTCTCTCTCTCTTCTCGCCCTCCCCTTCCTGCCTCGATCGAGGGAGGGGAGGCGAGATTCCGTTGTCCGTCTGAACCCTCGGCCAACTCCTTCCGGCTCCGGCCTGGCCCCAGGCCCGAACCCTGAGAGCCAGGTCAAGCGGACCAAGGCGCAGACACACCGACGCAGAGAGATGTCAAAGCAGTGACAACAACTTTCGTGGATGGCATCTCCTCCTCCTGTTTAGAGGCCTCTCCCCCCAATCCTAGCTGGTCCACCACCTGATGCTGGCCCTGACCGAGCTGGCCCGATCCGTCCCAAACAGAGGATCGACCAGCAGATCGAGGACCTGATCGACCATCCTGATCTCGATCGATCGACGCATCGATCAGACCAGTGAATGGGAAAAGCGACTACCGCAATGCATCCAAGTATTTATGTGGTCTCGGAGCGACCTCTACCACCACCGACCGATTGTGTGCCCTGCTCGCGTGAGGACAGATTGGCGTTTACCCAGCCTCCTCTAATTCCCCTCTCCCTGGCCCCAGCCCTGCAAAGAAACGACTAACAACACTTGGACAGTGAGAGGGACACGGGGCTGAGGGGGGTCGGCGACACGGACGGAGATGCTTGCAAGATGGATGATTGGAATGCGACGGGGAAGCCGGGCTGAACGTAACGACGGAGAACAGGACGCGCTTGGCGAGGGACGCATCGGAGGTGCTGTGCGAAGGGGCAGTCTGGACGGGCAGATCTGGAGCAGCGCAGTCGACAACATCACTGGCTGCAAAGGAAGTAGTGACGAACCAACAACACACACCCATACCCATAGGGGGATCGGAGAGGGCTATGGGTGCGTGTTGTCGGATGGGGGTCCCCGCTCGAACGGGAGCGTTCCCCGCGGTCCGACAACCCGCACCCATACCCACAGCCAGTACTCCTCCCAACGGCCCCCCTATGGGTATGGGTGTGTGTTGTTCGTTCGTCACGTAGGGCGAGGAGGCGGAAGATGGTCAAGAACTTTGCGGAGCGTGTCGTGGCGGCGGCCCCGGCGAAGCGCGATGCCACACAAGAGAGTGGTGTTGCGCTCCGCTCCGCGTGGCGGGCTGCTGGACAATACTCGGGACGTGGACCATCGGGGGCCGGGATGTGGTTGGCGCGTCGCGCCGGAGCACGGTGGGCCAGAACAAGCGACGCGACACGCTAAGCCAAACTGCTCCTCGTGTTCCTCCTCCTCCTCCTCCTCCTCCTCCTCCTCCTCCTCCTCCCCCTCCTCCTCCTCCTCCGTCTCCTCCTGAGCAGCTTGGGGTCAAGTCCCTGACCGTAAGTCGGAGCAGGGCGAGATGAGGCAACGGCAACTCAAGATCGGCCCCGAGCCCACCCCCCCGCTTCCAAGCGCACCAGGGCTCCAAGCTGGGCCCAGCTGCGGCGACGAGGGGCCCCTCTTCGAAAGACGACTGCCGCTGTCTCCTGGCGCCCTCCTCTGCGCAGGAGGAGCCGAGTGAGGAGGCCTCTCCCCCCCCCCCCGGTCCAAAGAATGAGCGGCAGAGGCAGCAGCACCGGCGGCAACCCCCGGCCGCGCCGCACGCCGCGGTCACCGGCCATCGCAGGCCTCGGCTCGGCGTGGCGCCGCGCACCCCACTGGCGACAGCCGGCGGGCTTCCTCCCCCCCCCCTCCCGCCTCCCCCGGTTCTCACCCTCCTCCTCGTCGTCCCGGCGGGCTTCCTCCGCCCCCCTCCTCCCGCCTGCCTCCGGTTCTCGCCCTCCTCCTCGTCGTCCTCGCCCTCGCCCTCGCCCTCGTCCTCCTCCCGGCTGGCGGGCGCCCGTACGCGGCGCACCCCTGCGCTGCACCGCGCTGTGAGCGGGCTGAGGCAGCCCGCTGCGCACGTGCGCCCACCCCCCACCACGGTGGGCACGAGTCCCGGAGAAAGGCAAACCGATGCGACCAGGAGGCCAGGAGGCTTGTCCTGCAGTGGGAGCTCGACCACAAGAAAGACCTTCCACAAGAAGCCCACCCATGGAACCCCAGGACGTTCATGTTGATGTCTGCTGTGGGGACGACACGCTTTCCATGGCAGAACCACCGATATCCAAGGGACCCAGCGCACTCTCGAGGCAAGCAGGGTGCTTCTTCTTGGCATGGATTCCTACTGCAATGCGACAAAAGGTTGTTCCTACACATATTCACTTGCGTTGATTCCTATTGAGCGGAACCCGGCGAAAACTACGCCGCCCCGAAACGGGACCCCCCCCAGATCCCAGGTCCTGGGAGCCTTCTGGACGCTCCTTGACAAGGTCACCCGGGACTTCCGGGCCTTTAAGGACCCCTCCCCGTCCGTGCAAACGGCCCACCGGCGGGGCCAAGCGGTCCCTGAGATAGTCCAAGAGGCCCCGAGACGTCCCAGGAGCGTCCCAAGAGGGACCTAGATGGCCGCAAAGCGGCCCCAGAGGCCCCCGAAACGCCCTAAAAAGTATTCGAAAGGACCCTAAAAAACAAGGATCGCTCCATACCAGAAGGGAAACGCGCATTATTTGCATACACGCCTTACTAGTCTTAGCACCGTCCAAGACTGTCTAAGAAGTCCCCTGACATCGCCCCAAGACCGCCCAAGAGGCCCCCCAAAGTACCGCCAGACAGCCCAAGAGGGCCCCAAGACTGCCCAAGAAAGCCCCCAAACGGCCCAAATATGGCTCAAAGGGGCCCCCGAAAGGTTCACAAGAGAGGCCCAAGAGGGCTGTAAGGCTTCCACGAGGGCCCGAAATGGCCCAAAGACGGCTTCCAGGCCCTCGCCCCCCATGACGGCCCCAGGACAGCCCAAGAAGGCCCCAAGACGGTCCAACAAATTATGCTGGCGAAGGACCCAACCACATGCAGTTGTGAGCACTGTCGTTGTGGGTGTCGCCTTCGGTGGATCTCCATATGGGGCCATGTAGCATGCGAAGGGTGTGCCAAAACGGTACGGGGCCGCCATGCGGGCGCTGCCAATGGGGCATGCACCGGGGCTCCCTATAGAGCCACGAATCGTGAGAGGGGTGCCGAATCGGGACGCCATGCGGACTGTGCCGCTGGGGCCTTCGGTGGAACATCTACGAGGCCACGAAACTTGTAAGAGGTGTGCCGAGTCGGGTACGGGCACGCCGTGCGGACTGTGCCGCTGGGACCTAAGGTAGGGATTCCTGTGGGGCCGCGAAACGTGTGAGGCAAGTGCCGAGTCGGGCACGGATACGCCAGGCGGACTGTGCCACTGTGGCCGAAGGTGGAACTCCCTATGGGGCCACGAAACAAGTGAGTGGTGTGCCCAGTCGGGTGCGGGTACGCCATGCGGACTGTGCCACTGGGGCCTTCGGTGGAACTCCATATGGGACCACGAGACGTGCTCGGGGTGTGCCGAACGGGTGCGGCTACGCCATGCGGATTGTGCCGCCAGTGACGGGTGTGCCGAATCGGGTGCGGGTACGCCATGCGGACTGTGCCAATGGGGCCTTCGGTGGAACTTCACGAATTATTTCAGGGGTGTGCCGAATTGGGCGCGGGTACGCCATGCGGACTGTGCCACTCAGTCCTTCGGCGGAGCTCCCTATGGGGTATAGAAAAGGGCTCCCGCTTGAGATTTCCTCCAAATTCATTCACGGGCGAGTCTCGCGCCTGAGACTTCCTCCAGATTGAAGCCTTAAAAAACCAAGAAGTGACGACAGCTGCAAAATCCCACCAGCCCTCTGGGCGTCGGTGGTTTAGAGCGTTTCCTCTTCCACCCCTCCCTCTTCCCCTTCGGGGAGGGGTTTACCCCTCCCCCTACCCCCTCCCCACTGACCTGGACAGGGGGTTCCGCGGCGCGTTGGAGCGCCCAAGATGGCCCAAGACGGCTCCAAGAGGGCCTCAGGGAGCCCAAGATACCCTCCAAGATGGCTCAAGATAGCGCAAGATGCCTCAAGATGGTCCCCATGATGTTCCAAGACGTTCCAAGAACTCTCCAAGACGGTTCCAAGTGCCCACAAGAGCATCATTAGGATGCATCCAAGAGGCCAAACTGCTTCAAAACCCTATGGTAAATCAATGTTTTTGGTGTTCTCACTTTTTCGCTTGCGATGCACGTCCGAGGCGTCAAGATGGCTCCAAGATGGCTCAAGATAGCTCCAAGAAGGGCCCCAGAGAGCCTCAGGATGGCTCCAAGAGCGGCCACGAGCGCTCCAAGAGCGATCCAAGAGGGGTCCAGGACGCGATGTTTGGAGCTCCTGGGGGGGGGCTCTAATTAAGGAACCCTACTTCCTTGGCCGATTTCCTCCACGATGGCCGCAAGAGGCCCCCAGGATGCCCCAAGAGGCCGCAGGATGGCCCCAAGATGGCCCCAAGAGGCCCCCCAAGAGGCCCCCAGGAGGCCCCCAAGAGACCCCCAAGAGGCCCCAAGCGACCCCCCAGAGGCACCCAAGGGGCAAAGATGGCCCCAAGAAGCGCCCAGGAGGCCCCCAAAGGCCCCAAGATGGCCCCAAGAGGCCCCTAGAGGCCCCAAGAGGCCCCCAGGAGGCCCCAAAGAGGATCCCGAACGGCCCACAGAGACCCCCCGAGGCACCCAAGACGCCGAAAAGCCCCTCAGGACGACCCTCTACTCGCCTGGGCGTCGTTTCTGGACGGGCTGGTGGGGATACGCAAAGCGTCTAGAATTGTGATGACCCCTCGGATTAGCCACATGATCTGGAGGTCCTGTAAGGAGGAGCTCTGGCTTGAAGCGTCCTCTAAATGCAATCCCGGACGAGGCTCCCACTCGGGACTTCCTTCAGACCCAGACTTCAGAAACTCAAAAATGTAGGCAAGTACACGTTTCGGATGAACCCTCGGATCGGTAACATGATCTAGGGGCCTACAGGGACGCCCCCCCCGCTTGAGACGTCCTTCCAACTCACTCACGGACGAGACCCTCGCTCGAGACATCCTGCGGATTCAATCGTCAAAAGCTCGGGACACAATTTGGGCGGACCCCTCAACTAAGTGACAGATCAGGGTGGCCTACAGGAAGGGGCTCCCGCATGAGACACCCTCCACTTCCACTCATGGACAATGCTCCAGCTGGAAACTTCTTTCATATCCACTTATCAGAAGCCCAGCAGCGACGACAGTTACAGGTTTGGGAAGACCCACCCTCTGATTAAGGACATGATCTGGGAAGCTGCACAGGGAAGGGCTCCCGCTTGGAACTTCCTCGCAATTCACTCACGGACGAGGCTCCCACTCGAGAACTCATCGATTGTCAAACATCAAAACCCAAAAGTGGCGACATATGACCCCCCTCAAACTGGCGGCCCTATAGACAAGGATTCCCGCTTGGGACGCCCTCCAAATGCACTCACGGACGAAACTCCCACTTGAGACTGCCTCACGGAAAACCTTCGAATATTAAAAGTGACCACGGTTGCAAGTTTTAGACGATCTCTTCGTATTGATAACATGATCTGGGTAACACTATAGGGAGGGGGTTCCCGCTCGAGACTTCCTCGGGTTTCACTCACTGACGAGGCTCCCGCTGAAGACATCCTCAAGATAAGTGCATGATTGCGTGCGTGTGTGAGTGTGTGAAGGCCTGGGTGTCTGAGCGTTCGTGTGTGAGGGTAATGATGGTGATATTGATGGCGGCGGTAATGTTTATCATGATGACGATGAGTGAATGCGTGTATGAATGCATCGGTGTACGTGTGTACATGTATGAGCGTATTGGGCGTATGGGAATGGTCCTGGTGATGAAGATGATGCTGATGGTGATGTGTGTGTGCTGGGTAATGGTGATGCTGACGATCTCCGATAATGACGATGAGCGTGTGTGTGTGAGAGGATGACCATGGGGATGATGATGATGATAATAATGATGATGCTGTTGATGATGATGTGGGGAGATGTGGTCGTCCTGCTCAGGGGGTCCAGATGAACAAGAATCCACCTCGGGATGTGGAGAAGAAGCTCGCCTTAGTCATGTTGAACCGCGCGGTTACCATAATTGGGCCCAACGTAAGATCACAACCACTTGATCGTGCGCAACGATGTAAAAAAAGCACCGCGCTGGTTTTGGGCGAAGGCAAAGGGCGACGAATTCGGGTCTTCATGTTCTATATTCTCCTTACTCCACTCTGCGCTCTGATGTCTACCCTCTGCTCCATACTCTGCATATTCTATCCCCTTCGCTCTACTCTATGAGATCTACTCTCTCCCCTCCCTCTCCCCCTCCGGGCAAAATCCTTACAACACCGGGCGCACAGGCTCCGTAACCCGTAGCCCAAGAAAGCTGGAACCTAACCACCAACCGACATCGGCGGCACACATGCGTGAGACAAAACATTCGGGAGCCACCCACCGAAATCGGCTAGAAAAATTCACCGAATCCTTGCAACATCCGCTAAGACTCCATGCAGTGACAAAGCTGGTTGCGGAATACCGTCAACAACGACATAACGCCGAGACGATAACGCGATTGAAAAAACAACCGCCCTCCGTCCGTGAAAAACCCTTGGCTCCGACATAAACTAACCACCAGCCCCCATCCACGGATCTGCTCCAAACTTTCAGCTTTAGGGCTGTGAGGCGAAAGTTCCCAAAGCGATAACGCACATTCGAGAACAGAACACCCTCCATGCGTGTAACGGCTGAGGCATTCAAAGTGTCAGGACCATGCGTCGATGGGGAACACCACGCGAGCACAAACTGACAAATGTAATGCCCTCGACACGTGCAGAGTCATGGGAATACTGGCTCTCGGAACCTGGAACTGCGAGGGCGTCCCTTGCGACAGTGCGAACTTGCAAACGGAACGACCTTCAAACTTGGAGGAATTGCAAACACTGAACTTGGCCTCCTGGATGTGGTAAGATGCATCAAACGACAACAAACATCTACAAAAAGACTGCGTCTCGTCCGTGCATGAATGCGGCGACAGATCGCCAATTCCCCCCCCCTGTGTCTGAGGAGCAACATTGGGTGCCAGAAAACAGAAGTTGCGCCGCTTCGCTTTGCTGTACGCGAGAACGTAGTGGAGTGCCCCAAGGCTCGTGCAGACCTGAGACATAGAAGGTCTGTAGGTGCTTGAGGGCCCGGACAATGTCTGAAGGCACGGTGGTAAAGGCCTGGACCGCTGCTCACGTGCCCTGCCCACCACATCAAAGTTAGCAAGCGCCATGCGATTCGAACGCAGCACAGAAGAAGCACAAAGCCAACAACTAAAACTGATGGAGGGACTAAAATCTAAGCCCGCGTTCCCAACACTTTCGGTGCGCAAGCCAGGATGGAACAATGATGAAGAAGGACGGAACATTGTTAAGACACTGTGACGCAGTCAAGAGTCCCTACGACCTACCTGAACAACGAAGGACGCCATGTTGATCACCGAGAGAGCGTGATCCACCGCCGCTTTACTGTGGAAAATTGCCGCACTTTTCCTCCAGAACCCGGGGGTCCCCCCCCTCCGAAAATCCCCCCCCCTGCTGGAACCCCTCCCCCCCCCCCCTCCTCCCCGGCAAAACCCCCCCCTCCCGTAACCCCCCCCCTCCCCCTCGAAAACCGGGGGGGGTCACTACCGGTTCGAACCCCCCCCCCTCGAAAACCGGAGGGGGGGTCACTACCGGTTCGAACCCCTCCCCACCCCACCCCCACTCACCGCCAGCAAACGACTCCCGGTCCCTATCACCGTCCGCACCACATCCCCCACTGTTGTTCCCAGCACCACTGTCCTCACCACCACTGTTCCCACTGGCTCCACCACCGTCCCTACTCTCCCCACCAGTGCCCCCCACCACTGTCGCACTGTCCCCACTGTCCCCACCACTGTTCCCACCAGGGTTCCACTCTCCCCACTTTCTCCACGGCCCCAACCACTGCCCGACTATCCCCACTGTCCCCACTGTCCCACACTCCTCCTCCGCTGTCCCTCAGCTGTCCCACTGTTCCCACCACTGTCCCCACTGTCCGCACCAGTGTCCCCACTGTACCTCTGTCCCATTGTCCCACCGCCGTCCTCGCCACCGCCTTCACCACTGTCCCCACCACTGTACCCTCCACTGTCCCACTGTTTCCACCTCATTCCCACTGTCCCCACACCACTGTCCCCACCACCACCGTCCCCCCACTGTCCACTGTCCCTACTGTTCCCACCATTGTCCTCACCACTGTCCCCACCACTACCGTCCCCACCACTGTCCCACTGTCCCCACCACTGTCCCGCTATCCCCTCACCACTGTCCCCATCACCACCGTCCGTCCCCACCACTGTCCGCACCCCCCCCTCGGTTTTCGAGGGGGGGGGGGTTCGAACCGGTAGTGACCCCCCCTCGGTTTTCGAGGGGGAGGGGGTGGGGGGGGTCGAACCGGTAGTGACCCCCCTCCTTTTCATGATGAACAGGGAGGGTGGGGAGGGGTTCGAACCGGTAGTGACCCCCCCCCGGTTTTCCGGAGGGGGGGGGGGGAGGGGTTCGAACCGGTAGTGACCCCCCCCGGTTTTCCGCCAGCAGCGGTAGAACACGCTCTTTCTGATCACCACAGCCCCAGGCAAATCGGGATATTCAAGCATACGGGAAAGACCTGGCGGAACAACCTTAGCAACCCCGAAGCCCTTCCAGACCAGAAGGCGTTCCTTATTTCAACGCTCCGATCCCTCGGCCGCATCACCAACGAGACAGGTCTGCAACGGGAGAACGGGTGGGCCAATCGTGGCTGACAGCCAATCGAGGTGGGCCGAGAATGGCGAGGCCTCCCAATCCAGCTCATGATCGGGGATCGCGCAGACTCTATCCCGCCTCCGGAGCCTTTCCAGCTGTAATCTGCTCGCTCCTGTCAGCCCGAGCGGCAAGGTGAAGCGAACCACCGTGCGGCTGCCTGAGCAGCGGCAGACGCCGCGCGGACAGCTGAGAGCCGCGCAGCGACACTGCTGCTTGTGGTTGGCTGTAGGCGGTGGCGCAGCAAAGGTGCCCACGGCCCCTCGTCTGACACAGGGGCTCACGCACGATTCCATCACAGGGAGACTTGCTTGGACTGAACGTGGCAGGATGGCGAAGCACGCTCCACGACAATAGATCTATGTCGGGCCTGTCCCCCTACAGGGGGATTGTCGACGAAAAATTAAAAATACCCCAAGAATACCATAGAAAGGTCACACAATGATCAAAAAATAGTCCCCAGACTATTTTTGGACTATTATTTGACTATTTTGGGGGTATGTTTCATTTTTCGTCGGAAAATCCCCCTGTAGGGGGACACGCCCGACATAATTCAATTAGAAGGAGACTTGCTTGGACTGAACGTGGCAGGATGGCGAAGCACGTTTAACGACAGTAGATGCGAGCGCCACCATGCGGCGAGCGATGAGAGAAGGCAGGCGCCGTGCTGAAGTTGCAGACAGAGAAGACAACTCGTATGCTTAGCCGTTCGCGCGCCCAGGATTATGCCACCTTGCTGTACCGCAAGGCTGGCAGCCAAAGATGGAGCCGACGTCGTAATCCCTGCCTGGTACCTCTCCTCTCAGAATGCAGCGGTCGCTGTAAAGTGCCGCTGCGCGCTAACCAGCATGTGTCCTCGCTCCCGCGCATTTGAACAACTTAATCCCATGCTGACTCCATGCCGTTTCACCAGTGGCCCCAACATTCTGCTAACGGGGCGAGCTATTCATCAAGGGCCAAGCAGGGTTAGAAGAAGCAATAACTACATCAACATAAACTGTTGGCGCTCCGCGCGGATTTCCTGGATCCGCGCCGGACCCCCCTCCCCGGCCCGCGGAGCGCGCTGGGGGCGGCGCCGGAGGTGCCGCCTGAGGTGCCATGCGCGGATCCAAGAACTCCGCGCGGAGCGCCAACAGTATACGTTTATGGCGTTTTCTCTTTTTCGACCTTCAGCGTTCCAGGAAGGGTGGGGAATACGTGCCTGTTGGTGTCCCACGCTACAGTCGGGGCGTTGACCTTAGGAACCCTAAATAAGGCACGAGGCCCCTTGTCCCCATAAGTTAAACTTCGATTTCCCATGGAACACCTCAGGATAACCTCAGACAAACTGTTAAACCATCAAGGAACACCAAGCCCCTCCCCAACGAGAAAAGTTCCTTCTTCAGCGCCCCGACTGTATTTGCCCAATCACTGCCGTCCGAAACCGACCCTCCCGCCCGGTGCTCATCGCTCGGACTTTTTGAAGCCTGCCACGTCGCCACCCTCGCAACTCAGGAAGTGGTCGCAGGCGCCGGCGGGCGGCGGGCTGCAGGTTTCAGGGCAGAAAGACTTACAGAGCTGGCGGCGTAAGAAGAGACGAGTAGGAGGCGGGAGAACGAATTCGCGAAGGAGTTGATGACAGTGATGGCGAACCAGTGTCACGAGGTATGCTGCCGATGATGATGCACCTGGGTAAATTGGATGCGTTAGGGTGGCAGGTGGAGTCGAACTCCGTCGGTGAAGTGTGTGGCTGGGGTGGTGCCCGCCGATAGAGCTGGATTGATGCAACGACCTTCTTGTTCCGAGGAAATAGCTGCGGGGAGCATGTGAACAGGACTTTCAAGGCCATTGAGACTTCTCCGTCGCAAGACTAAGTCTCAGAGACTGTAGAAACCTTGGGTCAGCGGCGCGAGTCAAAGACAACACCTGGTGCCACATTCGTGTACGAGTTGCATATCTAAGTATGTCAGTCTCGAGCGTTCTGTCCAAGACTTGCGCCACCACTCAATCGTTCAGAAACATCCATGTGTGAACATGCAGAGACGAAAATACATCAGAATGAAGGTGCCGAGCGGTCCTTCACTGTCCCTGGGTGCGTGGCTGAAGTGGGGTCACGCGGCGCGGATGATGCTTCTTGTTTGCTGTCGTCGTCCTCGCCCGCGGCCCGCCTGCGACCCACCCGCGACCCACCCCGCGACCCACCCCGCGACCCGCCCACATGGCTTGATCGAGGATTCGGCACCTGCAGCGGGCTCGCTGTATACTTCGTAACAGGTCGGCGCCTGCGGCGGGCTGTTTCAAAGCATCGCAGACCGCCAACGTCCCCGCCGCCCCCCTCACTCTTATCCGCAACCGCGAGGGCTTGCGCCTTATCGTGTCCATGGGCTGGGCTAGCCGATCGCTGTGACGAGCTATCCTGCCAAATGTGCGTATACCTCAACAGTCTCCGACTGTCCATGTACATGAGTTGGTGCAGCCTGTAAGGCGTACTATGATGATCGCTGCATGTACGCTTGCACAACTATAGGAAACTATATCCCAGAAGGTTGGCCAGTGAGCAGACCGGGGTGATGGATAATATTCGGGTGCGTATCGCACAAGCTCAATTAAGCACAGGGCGACGACGAAACAAAGAGCAATACCCCGAAACTGAAGTGACATCACAGACCTAGATGTTGACAACTGCTCAAGCGCGGTGGCTGAAGTGGGGGTCCGCAGTGCGGACTATTGTTCTTATTGGTGTAGCCGCTGCTCCACGACCCGCCCCGCGACACACTCGCGACCCGCCCGCGACCCCACCTGCGACCCGCCCGCGACCAACCCTCGAACCACCCGCGACCCACCCGCGACCACGCGCAACCCACGCGCGACCAGGCCGCGACCCACCCGCGCCCACGACCTATGTACGGTCTTGTCCAAGAGAAGAGAACCGCCGCTTACGTCGGGCTGTTTGTTGAAGCCAGGAAGCTGCGTTCACGTGTGGCGCATCCAGAGGCCACTTGCTGGATACACACGTGGAGGACCAACGTGATTCGCCAGACGAGGGCCGAGCGCTGGACAGACATGTGGCCACGCGGGTATCCAGCACTCGCCCAGGCCAGCCGCGTCATGTGCACCCAGCTTCCTGGCAGAGAGACACCCGCGGCAGACTGAATATTTTGGTGGGTGAAACCGTCCCTGGCGGCTGGTTTCGTTACTTCCACACTCGAGCCCCGCAGCCTTGCGCAAGGCAGCCCCGCCGCCCCCTTACCCTTTACCATCCATCCGAAATTGCGGGGCCAAGGTGTGAAGAACTGCGCCGAGATTAGCCATTGCGACATCGCAAACATCGTCTTCTGCACATTCCCCTATGGATGTTCAAGGGCGGGGAACTTCAACACCGACTGAGGGGAGCACCGAAACCTGAGCGGAACGCAAAGGGTTGACTTCTGCGCAACCGCCGAATGCTAAAGAGCGAGAAGTCAAATATCGATGGGCTGTCTATCACCGTCATCATCATCAGCAGAATCATCATCATCAGCATCGTCATCGACAGAATCAGCATCAGCATCAGCATCATCATCATCATCAGCATCATCATCGTCATCATCCTCGTCCTCATCCTCGTCCTCGTCCTCGCTCTCAGCATCATCCTCCTTCATGCTCCTGCTCATTCTGCTCTTCCTCCTGCTCCTCCTCCTCCTCCTCCTCCTCATCCTCATCCTCATCCTCCTCGTCCTCCTCCTCCTCCGCCTCCTCCCCATCCTCCCCATCCTCCCTCCTCCATCCTCCCTCCTCACTCCTCCCTCCCCCTCCCCTCGCCTCCCGCCTCCCTCGTCCCGTTCGTCGTAAGTCGTCCGTTGTCGGCGTCGAGGCCGTCATCGTCGTCGTCGTCGCCGTCGTCGTCGTGCGCCAACCACCAGCATCCGGAGCGCCCTGGATCGGCGGCACTGGCCGGAGGCCATTCGAATATCGAGGAGCTGCCCCGAAACCGAAGTCGAACGGAAGACATGGATTTCGGCAAACACCCCGCAGTGTCCGAACGAATCGCAAGCGTCGGCGTGGGCGCACCACGCTCGCTAGTGAAAGGCGGCTGGCTTGAACATCACGAAAGTGTGTGTCTGTGTGTTGCGAAGCCGGGCTGGAACAGCATACCTCATTTTCGGCCCACGCACCTCGGTTTTCCAATGAGGGGGGCTTGGACATCGAGACGGGTGCGTCGAAAGCTGAGCGGAGTCGCGAGCTGGCCTACCAAAACCCTGCTCCTGCATTGCTCCACTCTGTGATCCTCTACGCTATTCTAGATATACCTCTCAGCGTCTCCCTACGTCCGTAGTCGACTCTACTCATACTTTGTCCTTCACCCTTCTTCTGGTGGGTCACATCCCACCACCCTTCTTGACTCGCCCTGGTAGCGATCCTAGGTGGGCCCTTCCATCCGACCCATTAGACACACTATGATACAGGAGATGGCCCCAAACATCATCTTTCTAGGGCTATAGGACTGTGGGGCTATAGGGCTATGGGGCTATGGGGCTGTAGGGCGATGGGGCTATGGGGCTGTAGGGCTATCGGGCAATAGGGCCATAGGGGCTATAGGTCTACAGGGCTCTAGGGCTATAGGGCTATAGAGCTATAGGGCTACAGGGCTGTAGGGCTATAGGGCTATGGGGCCATGGGGCTCTGGGGCTATGGGGCTATAGGACTATAGGGCCACAGGGCTATAGGTCTATAGGGCTATGGGGCTATAGGGCTATAGGGCTATAGGTATGTAGGGCTATAGGGCTATAGGGCTATTGGGCATTGGGGCAATAGGGCTGTCGGATTATAGGGCTATAGGGCCATTGGGCTATAGGGCTTTTGGGTTATAGCGAATTGGGCTATAGATCTATAGGGCCATAGGGCAATAGGAGTATAGAGCTCTAGGGTTCTAGTTCTTTAGTGTTGTAATGCTATAAGGCTATGTGGCTATCGGGCTATAGGGCTATAGGGCTATGGGACTATCGGGCTATAGGGCTAGAGGGCTATAGGGCTATGAGGCACCAAGGCACCGGGGCGGGCCGCGAAAAGCGGTGGCAAACCTCAACTCCCTGTCGCACCCCTCGACTACACGCAAGAGTGACCCTGGGTAAGAGTGACCTTTGGTGCGCGGCTTTTGGGGGGCCGCGGGGTGAACAAACACGAGCGCGCAAGACGCTACTACCGCATTGTGTTCGGCGATCGGGGGACCCCATTGGGCCCGCACCAAAGGTCACTCCGGCGAAAGGTCACTTTTACGTCTAGTCGAACCCCGAGGCCAGTTTTTAGGGCGGGCCAGGCGTTT